AGATTAGTTATGCCGTGTACTTTGTAAATCGTGGGTGCCAGGGGTCCACTGGGGAGCCGAGCCCACCGTCCCACCCCTACCTCTTTTCAAAAAAGAACAAGCCTAGGTATGCCTACCTGTGTATTTTGGTATTTTGGTATTGTACAATACATACTCTAGGTACTAGGTCTTGGTACTTAGCCTTAGCACAACATCAGGTGTGTGATGCTCTCTACCAATAACACCAATAACGGGGGCCGCCTCAAAGCAAAACAACTCCACGGGCCATCTTATCATTCGTCTCTTGGAATTATTGACGGGCGGGCTGGCGGGATACTGATTGTATTGTACCCACCTAGGTCCGGTCCTTCACCCACGCTACTTGCTGACGGCCTCGCCTAAGAATGGAAGAGACGCTAGCAAGGTGACCCTATGGCCCATGGGGGGTCAAAATGATGTACGTACCAAGTATTCCGTACGGATCCGTATGAGTTGGAGTTTGACACGCACGGTATGACCCAAGTAAGGCTCTGGATCGACTTTTGTAATCCCTGTACACCGCTGCCGCGGATTCTGCCCTCCTCTGCCCTATCAACCCACATCTCAAATGGGCAGCATGGAGATCTACGTACCCTTGAGAGAAAAGCGCGGCTGTGCGCGCAAGTGTGTAGTGTATATAGAATAAGAAGCCCCCAAAGCATTATCGGTTCCTGCTGTCCCCATCTCTATGACATCGGACTATGCTAAACTACTTAACATAACACTCCCGCTCTACCCTCCCCATCTTACCATCGTGGTTACTGGCCGCTTAGAGCAATATATATAATAGACTCTGTTTATACCCGTGCTTGTCGTGTGTTCGACACGAGGACCCTTCCAAGTCATCGCCATCCATAGCCTCACCGTGTGAGGTCGTATGTTAGAAGAGCTATAGGATTGGAAGAAGAAGGCATCACGAATTTGTGCGGCGCGACAACTCACCTCGACCATTGCCCATTGTCCAAGCTTTGCGACTTATATAAATCTCATTACTCCACCGGCCGTCTTGGTGACACTCCTTTCGAACCTCACATTACCGGCTCACTAAGTCTATACTCGGTTCCATATATATAGATCTTATCGGGTCTTGATATGGTATAATCCCAGACGAATGTGAGCTTTTATTTCATCGCGCAAACTGTAGTTATCTCCTGTGTCCCGACTGAGAGACACTGACGCGAGGGGAGACGGTTAGCGTGAGCATACCGGCCGGGATTCCTCCTACAATTCACCACAAGTCTGTCCCCGGAATCGCCGACAACGTAAAATTATAATGGCCATGGTTGGCGACCAAGCTTACGATATGTTCCCTCGACATGACCACGATTTCAGGCTATACCCCGAAGCCCATCACCAGACGGGCTACGCTTCGCCGACACTGGAGATGCACGTGAGCCCGGGCGCTTTCAACATTCCCCGGAGCATACAGGAAGACTACCGTCCAGTTTCGGGATACGAAGCTGGCTCCATATACCCGGAAACACATCTCATGTACAGCAACGGCAACAACCACAACAGAGCTTCTCCCAGTATGTTCCCAGAAGACTACGAGATACCAGCCTCAAGCCTCTCAACTGCCTCGGCTCCCTCAGAAACGGCGTCTTCCACCGTCGGATCGCCTAACTCGAATCACGGCCAATCATCTTTCTTCCCCGAGTACCAACAGAGTGGTCTCGGTGTGAACCCGGGAATAGTCGACCCAAGCAATTACTTCACAGGAACGGAGTACTCTACCTATCCAGGTATGGATGAATTTAACATAACTTTTGTTGATAACAAGGCTATTGGTGAGTTAGCGCGGATATAACAATTTCTTTTAACTCTTTTAACAAGTTAGAGAAGACTTACTGTGAAGACCACGATGCACTGACCAAGATGCCTATTCTACAGACCCTTCACTAATACGCGGAACGATGGCCCCACCGATGCAGGGGTACGACAACTTCTCCCCTCAAAACCCCTATCCTAACTCTCCTGCTCTCTCTGGTACTGCCTCACCTGCGCCAGCCATGCGCAACGGCAGCCAGTCGCCCTACATGCAAGCCTTTCAGCAATACAGCCCATTCCAGGCACCCCCTGCTGCGCCAGCCAGGCGACAATCTCTATCATCTTACCAATCACACGGGTCGCACGAGTACGCGTACAACAGCGACGAATCGGAGAAGAAGCAAAGATGCCCACACCCGGACTGTGGGAAGGTCTTCAAAGATCTTAAGGCGCACATGTTAACCCACCAGAACGAGAGGCCAGAGAAGTGCCCCATTCAAACATGTGATTATCACGTTAAGGGGTTTGCGCGGAAATACGACAAGAACCGTCATACCTTGACTCATTACAAGGGCACCATGGTATGCGGATTTTGTCCTGGGTCAGGCTCGGCCGCCGAGAAGTCCTTCAACCGGGCTGACGTCTTTAAGCGACATCTGACCGCCGTACATGGCGTCGAGCAGACCGCCCCTAACGGCAGGAAGAAGGCAGCAAGCTCGGTGAACAGCGGCAAGAAGTTAACCGGCTACGCACCCGATGCCACGGGCAAATGCTCGACGTGCTCGGCCACGTTCGAGAATGCTCAAGACTTCTACGAACATTTGGATGACTGTGTCTTGCGCATCGTCCAGCAAGAAGACCCCGCAGAGGCCATCAACGCAAAGCGGTTGGCCGAGGTGGAACATGACGAGGAGGTTCACCAGACGCTTGAGAAAAACCAACTACCTCTCACCACGCAAAGTGTCCCTAACTCGGATGACGAAGAGGATGAGGATATGGCTGAAAATGACGACGCCGGGGATGACGAACGCAAGCCGAGGAAGTTGACCTCTCCCACAACAAGGAAGAAGGGGAACCCGCCCAACGGTGTTCAAAAGTCGCGGGGCATGACACATTCGCGAGGCGGCGTACAATTATCGGGCAAGAGTAAGAGCCGCAAGAACCGGCGCGAATATCCATCTTCATGGGGCTTCGATAAGGGCCAGATGACGATGAAAAAGCGAGTCATGACAGTATTCGACGGCCCGCGCCGACTAGCAAAAGACGACATGATGCTTTCGACGGAGCACGAGATCCGCCTACGGCTTTCCGACGAAAAGTCGTACGTGACGGACCTCGACGTCCAGACGTTGAAGAGAGCCAACGGCTTCCTCAACGCCACAGAGGAAGAGAAGGGAATATGGATTTCGGATGATCCTACCGAGGACGACAGGAAGCGCATGGAGTATGGCCATTAGAGCTAATATCGCGCCCCCGTATATAATCACATCCACCTACAATCCCTAATCACTACTACTGTATCGATATACATAGCATCATGACGACCGAGACGAAGATTGGGATTAAAGCATGATTGGCGCAAGGTCTGTTATAAGTTGGGATACTTGATGGCATACAAAAACCTATTAGGGAGGGGGGGGACTATAGAAAGGGGAGAGGCAGAATATCTCGAGAAGAGTATTATATCTTCCCGACAGTCGCTCGGCGGCTGATAAAAATGTTGTATTATCATTTGGTATATTATGTAGTTTTTTGATGGTCTGTATTGTATTGATACCCTATCTATCTATTTCTATCACGACAGCGCTGCGGAGACGGAACAAAGACTCGGCTTCGATCTTGAATAGAGAATCGTCTCGCTTTCGCACTACCTATTTTGACTATATACTTGGACTGCCGTGAATGTGAACTTGAGTGTGTACCTAAGGTATAACGTCGATTGATAAATACATCGTATTAAGACTAATACACTAATACTATGTAGGACTAGGTACACGGTTTGACTACGGTATACTGTATACATCACCCCAATCTCTACATATACGTCAGTATATTGGCGTCAGTATATTGATTGACCCATTGCAAATCCCGACGCATATTTTTTCAAATCCCATCTCGCCCAAGCGAGCAATATAAACCAAATCCAGAAATCCAGTGAATGACCCGTTTAGCTCGTCTGATTGGAAAACCAAGGCGACGGCATCTAATAACGAGGCTTCCCGGATGAATCCTCCTATTGCCTGAAACCGCAGGAGGTTTGGCGCAATAGGTGAATATTTGCAGCTGAAACGGGGCAATTCATTTCCCATAAGGTTGCGGTCGCAGCGATGGCGACCAGCTGCGAGATGAACGGATAGCCAATACCACGATCTACCTGTCATCGTCGCAATTGCAATTGGATGAGGAACGGGTGCTGTCATGCTGACAAGTATGTATCATTGTCATTGTCAATGTCTATGTTAATAGCTATGTCAATGTTTATGTCAGTGTCAATGTAGGCTTTAACTTTAGTTAGGTAGACTCGACACCCCCAGATGCAACAACAGCACAACACAACACAAGCGCGGCCCCGATAGAGGCCTCCGCGGATTAGGCCGGCCGTGGTGGCTTTTGATGACCGTTTCGTGCATTTGCTCACCTGAGGCGCAGCTCCCGCGATGGTACCTATACCACGTGTATTGCCGGGGTAGAAGAGGGAAGCAACCTTGGTCCTTGGAATATGGTTGGCGCGAAAAAGGGTACAAAATCAACGTTAGCCTTAGGTACCTTAGGTACACTAGACCCTTCCGCACTGGCTGCCCGAATCAGGAAGCTTAGGGTCTTTTCACAAGCGGTGTAGGGGCGCAGCTTTGCTTATTTGCAGTAGGGCAATGGCTGCTGGCCGCTGGGGAAGGCATAACGTAACTGCACATTTGCTTAGCAGCGGGTATGTATCGTATTATACCCACCTAGATTAGGTAAGGTACCTTGGTAGCGAATAGATTCAAATACGCAAGTACCTCGATAAGCTCTTTCCCCACTACATACAAGTTCCCAATCGTGCTCTGCATGTTAAAAATTCAATCCGAAACACACGATGACAACCCCATCAATCCAACATCATCATCATTATCATTATCACACTGTACATACCTACACTCACTATAAACGCCACCGGCAGCGCCGTAGACGCGCATATGTATACCCGCGCAGACGGGCGTCGACGAGCGCATTGTAGTGCATCTCTCTGCATCCCCGTAGGCTCTTCTAAACGCTATACGCTATACGCTATACATTATACACTAACTATACACTATATACACAGGTGCGGCAAGGTCGAATGTGATGTCATCTCCACTATAACATTGCATACATTAGTATACCTACCTAGGTACGTTAGTGTTGTAATACATACTAATATCATGTTACTTTTTCTCTTTTTTCTTATTATTACATCCATGTACATATACTACTATAGTATGTGCATACACACTAGTGTAGTGTAGGTATGGTATACATTTGCTTTTTCCTCTGTTCTATTTTAATATCGCGGGGGTGTGGCGCACACACACAAACACACACATATACAACATTAACTACATACACTAGACGATATCAACTTTCCGCCCGGCAAGGTTCGCAACGGAATAGCTCCGTCTCTTACCCCAGTAAGTACATACCTCCAGAGTAATCTTGTACTAGGTACCGGGGGTGTCTGGACTGACCCAAAGCTCTACCACTCTCGGTATCGCTTCTGTGCCCAACTTTTGATCACACGCGCTTGGGTGCAGAGAACGAAAGGAAAAAAAAAAAGTTCTCTAGCACCCCTGCACTTGAGCCTCAAATTACTCGGCCGAGCAGGATGGCCCTCACGAGCCGCATCTCCCTTCACGGTCCTCCAGCTTCAGATCCCGAGGACTACCTCAGTTCTTCCTTGGGCATCATCTTCCCGGATGATGTGACGAACCAGCATGGCGACGCGGAGCACTCGCTGCTATACACGTCGCCGCACCTACCCAAGCCCCTGCACATCGCCCTCGCGGACCCGGACCGGGAGGCCGATCGCAAACTCTTTAGCCACTACCTGTGGAACGCGAGTCTGCTGCTTGCCGAGCTCGTCGAGGCCGGCACCCTTGGCTTGCCCCTCGATGTCGGTTTGCGCCGGCTCCAGCCCGCCGCCTTCAATGTCGCTAGCCTTGAGACACTTGAGCTCGGCGCCGGTACCGCGCTGCCTAGCCTAATGGCTGCTCTGCTCGGGGCCAAGGGCGTGGTCGTAACCGATTACCCCTCCGAAACTGTCTTAGATACCCTGCGTAAGAACGTCGCGGCCAATGCCAAGACTGAGAACTCGCCCGCCGGCTCCCTTGCACCGCTAACAGCCGAGGGCCATGCATGGGGTGAGTTAGATACGCCTTTCGCAGCAGAACATCGGGGCCGATTCGACCGTGTCTTCGTGTGCGACTGCTTGTGGATGCCGTGGCAGCACACCAACCTGCACAAGTCCATTTCATGGTTCCTCAAAGACTCCCCGGACGCTAGAGCCTGGGTTGTTGCTGGGTTTCATACGGGGCGCGCCAAGATGCGTGGTTTCTTCGAGGATGATGCCCTTGCGGCTGCCGGGCTTGAGGTCGAGAGTATATGGGAGCGTGACTGCGACGGCGTTGAGCGCGAGTGGGTCTGGGACCGCGGCCATGAAGACATTAGTATACGGAAGCGGTGGTTAGTCGTCGGTGCACTGCGGCGAAGAGCGTCGGTAGTTGAAGGGTGAGGGTCTTTGGAATGTCTACTAGCGCTGAGACCTTAATGGCCGGATCGCGAGTTGCGGGCTATCGTCGCCAGAGTTATATACTCTACGTCTCCGAGAGCCTCATAGATAGATGGTAAGGTGACGCTGTCCGCCGTTCGCCTAATCAATGCTATAAATCTGGTCTATGTATGGCAATGGACATGGAACTGGGATACCGAGGCGGTACTAAGCCAGCTATCGAGCAGCAAGACCCTTATACTAGGTACGAATAGATACCTACCTACCTAAAGTCTCGTGGGCAAGATGATCTAAGACGTTGATCTATCATAGCTACCTCTTAGATATATCAAGCTTGAAAGATACACGATTTTTACAGTCCAGAATTTAGTTTAGACAGATGCCTAATAAGAAAGATTGTAAATAGGTTAGGTACCTAACCTATCCACGCAACTGAATTAGTCGTAGCAAAGACCCCAACCATATAACTACTCATTCCTCTAAACACCAGAAACAGGTTTGAAATTGTTTGGCGGGTGAGCTCCGGCTCTATTTCCCGAGTCGATCTAGTCATATTAGCAGGCTTATGATCAACCAAAGGCCACAACAGCGAGACTCTACCGAAGTAGCAGTAGCCTAAATTGGCATCTAGTTTGAGTACCTAACTATCGTCTGAATACGTTAACTTCTACTAGCACTAATTAAAAAGGTAGACATGGTCTGAACTTGCTCGCTATAGAGGACGCTTCTTGAAAACATCTTGTAATCACATCCAAGCTACACGTCTATTGGCGGTATTGTTCTCACAACGTTCCTTAGGCCCAGCTATAAGCCCATGTCTTAAATAACTACCTATATTAGCTAAGTCAGACATATTAATTCTCTCTAGTAGGATGCATTTAATATATATCATATATGTGCTTTATGCTATGTACGTACTTATTTATATCTATGTATACCACGCCCGTCATTCCATCTCTAGAAGTCCTATTCATTAATCTCATTGACACTCTATCTAACTACCTAATGAAGAAGATAATTCAATATAGATAAGCTATGCTAAGATAAGATGCTCGCTCCATGCTAGCCTCACTCATATACCGTCGATACGAATATATAGATATGTGATAGATATGCTACTACAGTATCCATATGTCGACTTAAAGGCAACTGTAGTAGCACTCTGGTCGTGATAAATGATTCCATATATAATGAAATAAAATTTTCTCAGGCCAAACAAAGATAGCAGCCTCCAACCGGAGCACGAAAAAGCTATCGGGAGCAAATGCCATATGCGATCCTGCGTGGCTGCTGCTGGTCTGGTATCCAAGTAGAAACGAAAAACAAGTATAAAAAAAAGGTATAGTGCGTGAGGGATACGAGCCAATATCCCAAGTGATTAGACCTTCGTTGGAGGGTCATCCATCCATCCATCGTGCCGTCGTTTTGTTTTGTTTTCCTTCTTATATCGTGTACCAAACGCCAAACAGTCCACCCATCCCCTCCTCCAACCCATCGGGAATATCTGTACCTTTCCCTAGCTGCTAGACGAGTCTCGTCTAACCTCTACGCTGAGCAAATTAGCCCCGAAGAGAAAAAGCCCTGATAGGCTTGTGCTGGGCTCCATGTGATATGTTCTGAGCTACTGCCCGGCCGACAACTCTAGCGGCATATTCTCGCCTTTCTCGAACGCGGGGCCAGGACCTGAGTAGCTAGGCGCCGGTATGGGTGTTACGCCTCTCGATGTACGATTTCCGGTCGTAATTATCCGAGGTAACGCTTCCAAGTTGGACTCGAGGCTATGAATCGCACTCGAATTGGCGCCAGCCTTCACCGGCTGCGGGCTCACGAGCGTAGCCGGTTGCGCGACGTGAGCAGAGTGTAATTCAGTACTGTCTTTGCCATCACCAAGCTTCTGCAGCAATGAGTTATGCCACTCAGACAGCTCCTGTAGCTTGGCTGCAGGGTCCTTTTCAGAGCGTAGTATGTTAGTTATATCACAGAGGCAAGCCTCAGGGGTCCACCGAGTCCCATGCTCACATACCCATTCAGACTGCGCCGGCACACCTTGTGCAGCCGGCAGCAGCGGGTTGTCATTATTGCCACCCCACGATTTTGCTCGGCGGACTGGCGCTGGGGTGACTGGCAAGCTAGGACGCTCAGCTTCGCTAGGGAAGTCGGTAACTTTGCTTCCTCGCCTACGATGAGTAGCCTCAGGCTGTTGGGCATGATCCTGCAACAATACCGCGCTAGGAGGAGATTTGAGGCTCGGCTTTTGCTTGTGCCTTTGTATCTTATCAACGTAGCGTTCAATTTCGGGTACGTCGTCCCAGGCATTAGTCATGGTAAACGAGGTCCAAGTAGCCGGTGTGATATGAACAGTTGGTGTGGTTGGTGTGACCAGCTCGCTCCTCTGGTCATCATCCGTGGATGCATCTGTAACAGAAGGCGCATTCCATGGTCCACCCGTAGGCGTTTGTGCGCCACTAGACAGAGGTTCCTCTTCGAGCTCCTCTTCTTCTTCCTCTTCAGGTTCCTCCTCCTCCTCCTCCTCGGGCTCTTGGGGGTAATCCTCAGCGAACACGCGAGCAGGCGCGGATCGTTGAGTCTCCCAAGGGAATATATGTTTCAAGGGGGGCGCTCCAGGCTCCCTAGGGGGTTCATACCACTTAGGTGCGACCCACTGAGTAGTATCTTGAGACATGTGATATACGGTAGAGGGGAAGTTCATAGCTTCCGGTCTGGAATTTTGTGGGGGAGCATGTCTATTTTCAAGTTAGTTCTCTGGTGTTCCAAGAATAGGTGATGGGGTAGGTAACAAACCTCTGAGCGTCCCAGCTTGACGTGCTGGAGTGGAATGATGAATTCCCGTTTTGCGAACGCCCTCGGATGTATGCATTCTTAGTGGTACCGTTGGACTGGTACTCTCCTTTGGTAAGGAATTGCACAAGCTCTGAATTGGTCTAGATATGGTAAGCCGAAGATCTAACACATAGAAAGGTTAATAGGGAACGTACCGATCCACGGTAATGTCGATCATAAACAGCCCACCATCTCCCAGTCATTTCGTTATACGGTGAACTTCCAGTGCTGGCGCTTCTCCCTCTGAACCAAGGCTTGTCGGCACCGATGAAATGAACCAAGCTAATGCTAGATTGGAAATGGCGATAAGCAGGGATATACTGGTAGTGACCAGAGGGGGTAACATTATAAGAGAAGCTAAGGCGGTTGTGGTTGTTCTTGAAGTGCATGTTGATAAGACCCTGGTCGGCGCCGTCGAAGGAGATGCTTCTCTCGGCCATTGCCAACATGGCATGGTAGTCACCCAGATTCGGAGTTAGAGCCATGACACCAGTGTTGAAGAGATCCGGCCAGCCAATATCGGGAGCTGCGGAGAATGGGTGATCCAACGCAAAGAGTTCATCCGGGGCCCGGTAGGCGACGACATCAGCATCGATATACACGATCTTTCGAAATTGGGTCTGCTTCCACAAGTTGATCTTGGTAAAGGCAGAGTGTAAGTCGGCTCGACCCATCAGGTGCAGATTTGCCGTTTGCGTATTGCGTATCGTGTCAACCGGAATGATATAGTCGTAGACAGTCTATTCAATTAAGTTAGTAGGCTATAGCAATTAGGTGTTTGTGAAGCAGTAAACGTACCTGAAGCTCTGTTATGACTTCGGGCGCTACGTTATCCTGCGTGACCAGGGCGGCCAGCTTCTTGGTTGTACCAGCATCTCGTAGGGAGTGCGCAAGCACCAAAGCACCTTGAGAGAGGTTAGTAAATCGATTGCAATACGGTTGAAGTCGTAAAACATACCAGGCAAATATGTGTCGCTTAGAAGAAGCTATATGCGGACGTGTATTAGCTATTGTTCATACGCTCTGTGAATGTATCCGGGATTCACTAACTGTAGCGTACACATCCTCCTGCGGTCCATCTTGCGCAGCCATTTTGTGCAAGAAGTGGCGGTCAAATCACGCCAAAAAAAGATATGGTCGAGAGGGGTAAACGAAGTAGATAGATAGGTAAGTAGATAGATATTGACGTTAAAGACGTATATTGGAGCTTAAAACTTGACAAGCTCTCTGCTCGTGAAATAGACTATAGCTAAATTCGAAGCACTGAGGAAGTTAGAAGTTATGTTAAGCAAGAAGAATTGTAAATAATATAATAGTGTAGCAAGCCAAGTTGTTTTTATCTATGGCGATGAGGCGATGAGGCGGGATGGCTGGTCTGGCCAGTTACCTAGCTGCAAATAACCCTGCAGTGTATTTTTTCTTCTTCTTCTTTGGACTTGCCCTGTTGCCTTCCAAGAGACAAGGTTGAAGAGGAGATCATCAAAATGGACCGTGGTCGATATGCAAATGCAACGCTAGCGTTACTTCTATCAACAAGGTGAACAAGGATTTATGTGGATTATAGGTATTTACTTACATGTCCTTGGTCCAGCAATGCACTTATCTGGGTCTCAAGCTTAGTGTTTTGTCTGGAATAGTTTAAGGCACTGTTTAAGGCGTTCAATATTAGGCATATGTGCTTCGACCTAGATTTAGTTTGATGGTTTGGAGATAGGATTGGTCCAAATATACTAGGCTATGATTCCCAACTGGAATTGATAGGTACCAAGAGTCGTACGTTCTCGAAAAGTTTGAAGGTTGAAAGATAGGTAATAATAAAAATTTGAAAAAAAAATACGCAATACGCGGGCATGTTGCATATGTACTCCCATATGTACGTACAGTTGAAAGATAAATACGACGTCCTTTGAAAGATGAAAGGCGCGGTATCGCTGATGGAACCTTGATGATGGAACCTCTACGGACCCCACTGAACCATAGTGTATCAGCAACTTATCAGAGCACAGACCAATATACTATACTACATAAAGTTCCGGAGCTCCACTCTAGGTAGTGTACGTCCACTAAACTTATCGGCCTATACCTAATGTCCACTACGACCTGGGGTTTTGGAACTGAATAACTGGAAGTTACCCACCAGCCCACATCGTGAATTATGTCATTTGCTATTGTTTCTTGTCCCGGACTTGCCAAAACTCGAGGCAATTAAGGCAAGGCAAGATCGAATCGGTTGGTTGGGGGGGTACTTATTTTTGCTTACGCCGTACGGCCCCCTCCCTGCCCTCCCTGCCCTTCTGGCTGGGGAAGCAGGGAAGGTCTCGAACGTTCTCGTCTTTTTTCAACATTGACAATTATCCACAACACCACATGTATCCACAAATGTCTACGAATCCTAACAAATTTTAGAATCTTTTCGCCTTCCCGTACACCAGTAAACGACGATCAGGACCCACGAGCAACAACAACAAGCAAGTTTAACATAATAAGCGCGCCACCCAGCATACATATAGATAGATAAATTGCATCCAACCATTAACGAGGAGAGAGAAGGGAGACTATCAAGAATTTCAACAATTTTTGGAAACATGAAAATTCTCAATATTGAGGTATCTGAGTGGCTGGCCAAGAAGAACATTATGGTTCGGACCACATGTTAGCAAACCCAAGGACACTTAGGTTAGTGTGACCAATCTGCCAATCTACCCAATCTACCTACATACTCCTCCTCAAGCAAGGAGGTCTATAGTGTATGCTATCCACCTAAGCACATGTAAGTATTGTTTCACACATGAGATCTGTACATACTTCTGCATGCCGATCCCGACAATTCGAACTCGGAGATGCACGTATTAGGTATGCACTCGAGAGTTATAATCCAGCTTAATACGCATGCATATAAAGTTATATGAGCACCTTGCGTATATTATAGTATTATTATGTAATGTAGAATGACCACAACTTCATCATAACCATAGCCTCCTTTGAATGGAACTATCCGATGGCGAATTAGGGGTCGAGTTTGGTGGGCCCCGCAAAGCGATCTTACTTAACCTTAGATAGAGACTTAAACTAACATCAACATCTTCTTTCCTTTCTCTGAAGTATATACTAATGATAGAAATGAGTAAGGAATCTACTATGTAGGGAAAGTCTAAATTGCCACACATCCCGCCTTCCGATGTCCTAAAGGCTAACATTCAATGTTACATGGATGTGGGCTAGTTATGTGCATGTATCCATACATGTACCTAACATAGATCTTCAAGGCTCCTATGGATTTCCGAACGGTCTGGGTTTTACAACTCCACAACCCACAACTTCACAACTCCATATCTCCATATTTCTTTACACATACGCTCTGCAGACTGCAGTCTTATTGCTGGTCCATCCAACATCAGCCTAACATACCCAGGTATCTACGGGAAACTGCCCAACTCCAAACTATTCGATAACGCCCACGTCTCTTACAGGTCAGAAGCATCTTGAAAAATTTTTAAGGCATCGCGGCCATTCGACTTCAAAAGCTTCTCCAAACATTAGGTATTCACTCATTATCCATCTATTATTCATTATACACTAACCTACGTTAGTCGGGCCACCGGGAAGTGTGGATCTTTCTCATAAGGTTCCTCTACTATATTCCCCATCAGCGGGCCGGACCGGACTCGAAAACGTCATGTTACGAGCAGGAAACGAGAGAGATCCTCATAATGTTGTTACTCGCCCCTCTCTAGCGGCGACCACGGGAAGTAGTCAATATAGCAATACTAGTGCGAGCTCCGCAGTAAGCACATTTCCATTCCGTGGGACTTGATATCCATAGAATAGTTTATATGCGAGCATCAAGTCTATGTCATATAAGCGCGCAAGTGCGTTACTACAACCCGACCCCATGGCTCTTCATCTCCCCAGATCACGTACCGGGGTACTCGATAGCATACTTTATAATCAATAATATAGCTACCTACTCATAGACATTAACTGCTTATGTCCATACTCATTACGCTTCCTTCTAACGTTATGCTATCATTACGATAGCTATAATATAATGAAACTAATGAGAACACCTTCTCTATCAGGCCAGCCCTTCTACTACGCATATCAGCAATGACGATAGAGGTAGCTCAGGAGTCAACTCCCCATTCCTTAAACTCCCGTTCGAGTTACGTCTAGAAATATACGAATATCTCCTGTGCTCTCCGGATGATATTATAATATCTGCAAGACGTCGTCAGATTTATTGGTACCGTCCACGACTACCTACGTGTGAGCTTCGCCGCCTCCCCCACCGAATGCCACATGTAGAGTTGCTACGTACCTGCAAGCAGGTAGATTCGGAGGCAACCCCCATCCTTTACAGGAAAAATAAATTCCTCGTAGTCTGTACGTCCCCCGAGTTCATACGAAGCAAATCCCAGATTGTATACTGACAATGTGGGTGTTATGGAGTGCCTTATAAGGCACCATTCTGCCCTATGAACTTCTTCCTGTGGAGTTTACGGCGATCGACCATGTCTAATGTGACCTCTATCACTTTCGTCTTTGCCTGTCGCGATAATTGCCCGCTGTGGCTCGATTTATGCCCCATCATCAAAGGGAAATTTATGAACCTGAAGAAATGGACTGCAACGGGACCACAGCTGGCCAAATTGTGTTTCCCGTATTATAGCCAGCCACATTGGCTACCTCTATCAGGCAGAATACGGGACGTGTATGCTCATATTCGTATTGAAGCCTTCCAGGATAAAACTGCAGTACTGAAGGGATACTACTGTGGCAGACACAGGGAAACGACACTAGGCAGGCCGGGCCGCAAGAAAGAACTGGCACCGATGAGATTCTAGTTCTTTAGATTGCTCAAGTCTATTTGGCTGCCTAAACCACACACGCTAACACACACTTAGTCTTGTTGCTCTACATTTACGGTTTTGTTGGATTTCAGCGCGGATAGAGCGTGGGGAAAACGAGCTCCAGGAAAGTTCTGATGGTAGTGAGGGTAATATGATACCTCTCGAACAGCGTAATGTGACTTTCAAATAAACCTAGTTCTTAGCGAAAGGGGTTTTCACTGGGCGAAAATCCTTTGGATACATGACCTTACGTTACGATGACTGATCTTATATCTTTAGGCAACGAGGGAGGCTATCAACTGATACATGTTGATTGGCTTGGAACTACACTTATTGGTGGTGACGTGTCTGCGTTCATGTAACCTGCTCGTAATTTATCTTGGTCAAAAGAGCCTATTATATTACGGTAGAGAAAAGGGCTAGGGTGGGATTCCTATAGGATAGAAATCGGTAACTTAGCCTCGTATTACTTATTAAATGACTTCCATCTACTATCAAGTATCGCAAGTAATATCAACCCCTTTAATCATAGGCCTCCGGAGCCCATAATACCACTCACCCGAAATAATAACACACACACACACACACACAGAGCAAGCTTGAACATATAAACGTCTAGGAATACTCTAAGGCGTATTGAATATTTGGCATTAGATTCATAAAACCCCGAGCAGAAACCTCGCCCAGACCGCTATAAACCAATTGCGATACACCCCCCGAAGTCGAAATCCCGCTGTCTAGTTCCAACACGAACTGCCAGCATATTGCTCTCGCCAACGTGTTCTACTGCCAGAAGTAAATGCCTATGGGACTTGATAAATATTACTACTATATGTTGATAAGCTTACGCCCATAATTTCCCTTTCCGGGGCGACTTCTATTCTTTCCCACCCCTCTACGTAAAACGCCATGACGGTTCACTATATGCTCGTAACTAACCACGCTCGCGCTATATGAGTACCGCCGGCAACCAATCTTGTCCCGGACACCCAGATCCCATGTCGCTTGGCAACGCATCCGATCATAGATCTTTGCGGTAGCTATGCTCCGGCTTATGCGTAGTCTCGTAGTCAACATGGACATAAGCGCGCTCGATGTTGGGGAGCTTCTCGAGCTCGGTCTGCAGACCCTCTGAAACATCGTGGGTGGTGCGGAGGGGATCGGCGGGGTCCATGACGATATCGATCTCGGCGATGAGCTTGGGGCCGGAGTGGTAGACGCGGACGGTGTCGATGCCGAGGATGGCGTCAGAGTACGTCAGGCACACGTACGTGATGAGGCGGTGGACGTCGATATCGGCCGCGCGCCCCACCAACGTCATGAATTCCTCGAACGCCTGGTGCAGCCACGCGCCGCTGATGATCAGCGAGATGATGATCGCCCCCATAGGGTCAAGCCACCATGCTAGCTTCGATCCGCCGACGGAGGTGAGCACACCGAAGCCGTTGATCAGCAAGTCGTTGCGGTGGTCCTGCCAGAGAATGTTCACCTGGCTGTACTTGTCCTTAATGCCCCAGCAGTACATAAACAAGCCAAATTTTGTAGCAAAAGCCACACACACCGCGATTACCGAGGGCAGATGGAAGTTGTTAACTTCGGTCGTGCCCCGGCGGTTCGAGATATCCTGACACGAGAAGGCGATTAGGATGGCGGACACGGCCGTCATCATGAAGCAGAACGCGATGTTTCCCACCGTCTCCAGGCGAGCCTTGCCAGATGGGAACCTGTTAGGATCCACCCGTTTCATAGACTGCTGGACAAGAATTAGGGTGAGGTTGCTCATAGGGTCGAAGATGGCGTCGGCCATGGTGGTGAAGAGAGATAGAGAGCCGGAAGACACGGCGCCGTAGATCTGCAGAGCAGCTAAGCACACATTGGCGGCGAGGGAGCCCATGACAGCAATTTTAACCCGTAGGTTGTCGTCACCGGCCTCGTTCTGGGCGTCGGTGGAGTGCTCCTCCACCGATTTGAGCATTTGCTTGATCGTGTCATTCTGCTTGTGGTAGAATGTCTGGACCCTTCGTGCTCGGAGGGTTGATGTGAACTGGTCGATACTCGAGCTGACAGCGCCGGTACGCTTGCGAGCGGTATTAGCTTTGATCTCGTCTAGCTGCTCAGGCGTCTTAAAGGCCGAGGACAAGTTATAAGGGTCGCTACCGCCATAGCGGGCGGGACCAGTCTGCGACTCGATATCTGCAGCTGTACCAGCTGGGTGACGAGCTACAGTGTGGTCGCCGTTCTCGTCCATGGCTTCTACACCTGTGCTTGTGGCATTGTGGTGAAGGACACGAGAGTGATGAGACTGCGATACAGGTGTGTGGACCGAGGACCGCGAGCTAGAAGCTTGCCCGTGCTGGTAATCGCTTAAATGCGAGCGCGAGGCCGCAGAAGGTGAGATGTCAGATGTCATAGCTTCTAAGAAAGCTCGGACATACAACCGGAGATGCTAATTACTCCTATCTGTAGGTGAGGAATTAGATAAGGCGCAGAATGAGGCAGGTTGCGATGCGCAAGGGGGAGAAGGAGGGTATTTATGTGTTAGTGTGTATAAGGTCCCCACTCCCAGAGGACCAGAGTCAGAGAATAATGTTATGTTATACTCGACGTTGCTGGCCTCTATTTACACATGAGTTAGTGAAATGTTGAATATGAAGCTTTAGTAGTGATTTGGACTCAATTACTTGTAAGCAAGAGCTACAAGTACAGTGTCTCATAAAATGTAGCACAATTATGTAAGATTAGAGGTAGGTTATAGGCAATTACGGAATAAAGCCTTTGTAGGGAAGTGACGTAAAGACGTAGGTATTGAGCAGGAACCAAAAATAAAAGACAGGTAGTCACGACATTACCATTATCATTACCATTACCAACATTTTTTTACCAACTCCAAGCTTTAGCGGTGAGAACGCGGTAAATAACCACTAGTCAGGTACCTACCCTTTATCCTTCCACTCCAAGAGTGAGCACACTATGACGAACGAGCTTAGCCTTGTGTGGCGAAGAGCCGAAAATGCGAAGAGCGGAGATGAGATAGGCGATGTCCAAAGCCCAAGCCCAAGCCCACGCGGCCCATTCGAAAAAAAAAAAAATAGGTGCCAACTCCGGAAATCCAACACGCGCTCAAATCCGCCATTGTGATTTGTCTAACGCAATAGGTAGACGAGAAGGCAAATGGTACCTAAACCTAACCTAGGTACGTAACCGTAAGCTGACCGCAAGTGGAGAAAGGACAAGTTAGCAAGCTGCAATAAAAAAAAAAGTGTTGAATTGCGAATAATTCAACCTCGGCCGCCCGAGGCGAAGAAGACTGACGCGCGATTTTCGTCGGACGAGGTTGATTGAAAGTTTACGTTTAGGTATGTGGCTGAGAATGAACAAGACTTTGAGAAGAAAAAATAAAACAAAAACAAAAACAAAGTTAATGCAGATGTCAAACGGATCGGGTCGAACTTTTATATATAAAACATAGGGCTGCTGTAACAGCTAATCGTCTGATGAATTCGGGTCCCGTCGGGAAAGCTGTGCGTCTAAAAGGGTCCCGACCTACATATTCGGAGTACCTGGGTACAACGATTTTCGGAAGGTCTAGGTTAACAGGTCGCATTCCAATATTTAACCAAGTTTGAAGCATATATCAATATTTAAGGGAGGAGGGCGCATCTAATATAGTAAAACTGAAGATGATACTATTCATAACCTCTTGTGTTTGGAAATGCGTAGCAATACCGTATATCTCACTTCTCTACTTATGTAGCCAAGTATGTAGTAATCTAGACGAGTCATCGCAATATTGCACTTCTATCATCATCATCGTCCCCTGATCCAATCCAACCCGTTCCCATTCAACGTTTATATCGCCCGTATATAGTTTCCTCTAGGGTATCAAGTCCGGTCCTCTATCTTTCATATACTGAGCACCCTAACCATATACCTCAGATACCTAACCCTTATGCATCCGCGCGCCTTAGAGGATGCGCCTCGGTATTTAATACCCATTCATCCAGGTTAGCCAAGTCCCAGTCGCCAAAGATCAAGTAGAAGTATTTGAGCGTCTCAGCCAGCCAGAAGCTCTCCATACTGTCCACCTGCTCCGGCTTTTTTACCGTTATATCGTCTAGCGCCGCCGCGGCATACTTGGACCGCGTCCATTTATCCACGGCTTCAAACATAGCCCACGCCTTCTCCATGTACTTGGGGTCTCCAGTCATGCGCCACATCATAAACACGGATTCGATGGCCTCGGGGCGTAGGAGGTACCGACGGTCGTCAACGTTAACCATACCAAGGGGTAGATGCCGCGCTTCTATGATGTTGTCCTTGACCTGCTTGTCAGAGAGCGTATCTCCCTTCATATTGCGACCCCAAAATTTCCTAATCGCCTCCGTCCATCGCGCCTCGCTCCACTGGCAGTCGTCCTTGGTAACATCCGGGTCACAAGGTATGAAGCGGAACAGTTCGGGTCCAATGCCCGAGTCAGTTTGGTTGTACGACCACACACACCCTTCCGTCAACTGCTCTGCTATAGCTAGGTCCGACGGGCGGTCAAAGATCTTAGCTGCCATGCCCACCATACCTCCTGCAAAGCATGTTAGATGTTGCGCTATCGGGGTAGTCACAATCTGCTCGCCGCCCTCGGGCATTGTGACAACTCTAGTGTCACCGAAGAAGAGTAGCTTGAGGTTGTCCGGGTTTAAAGCACGACGGAGAAGATGCTTCTTTGCGACGTCTATGAAACCTTCGTACATCCTGCGCGGCTGGTCAAGGGCACCTCCGAGCAACAAGTACTGCTTTCCGAGATACTCAAAGGTACTATCGGCCATACCGCCGAGCGTGAACGAGTCGCCAGAAGACTTGAGAGGCGTCTTTGAAGGGTCCACTATGATGGGCCACATCCCGGGTAGCCTAGTGGTCTTTTGGCCCTTTTCCAGGCCGTCGGCTATTCTTTGTACGACATCGTAGTATTGCATATCACCGGTCAGTTGAGATAGCTTGGTAAGCTCCAGACTTAGTGACCCGACTTCGGCTAGCAGAGCATGCCCTGGCGCTTTCTGTGCCTTACCCCTAGCATATTCTTTCCAGGGGAACCGCGTTATGGGCATGTGGTTCGGTGTATCGAAACACGACATGACTAGATCGGCAACCTCAGTCGCCTTTTTAAGGAGGCCCGGGTATTGCTTCTCACTTAGCTCATATGCCGCTAAGAAACCCCCAAGATATCGAATTGTCGTCTCAAAAATGTTGATATCGCGAGCCTCCGTAGTTGTGAAATCAATTGTCTCGCAAGCCTTCACCGCAAAGTCAAAATCTTCTTTCATATCAAGGAGCCATAGACTGTCTAAGGAATCAACCAGGGTTGCTGCCCACCCGGCAAAAGGGTCCTTATACAACCCCGAGAGGGGTTTGATTTCGTCGTGACCCCATGCAAATTTCTTGTACCCATTCCAACTGTGTTTGAAGCTATCCTTGATAGCAGCAAGTCTTCGTAACCGCAACTCCTTATCAGAAGCACTCTCCTTCGGTCTCGCGACTTGTACACGCGGTATTCGTTTAGAAGGCTTATTGGTCGGGAGCGTAGCGAGTTTTTCCACGGGGTATTGAGGCGGACGCTTTTCCCACTTTAGGCCTTTGGAACCAGCCGAAGCCGACGTAGGACGATTCCCCGGATGGCGTGTAGGACTAAAAACGCCCGAACCAGCGGGTGGGTGCCAGCTATAGTACCAAGATGCAAGTACCCAGATGGCGACCGCAGCGAGAAGTATTCGGACTCGTCGAACGGCCATAGCTGCGACTATAGCGGATTGAGAGGTAAATCTAAGGTATATTACTCTAACAAGGCTTCAAAGCTAGCGAATGCAGTCGGAAAGAAGCAAACAGGTATTCACATCGCTCGAGCACGGATTGTATAATATCAGCCCGGAGAACTGACGAAAAGGTCAGCTTTCCCAGAGGCAAGCAGGTAAGAGATCTTGAATTCGTAGCTAAACATCAGATGAATAAATTATTACTGTTAATGATTTGAGTCTGTGGGACGCAGTTAGGGGAGTCTGCTGTTTGGGTGGTGTTTGGTATTTTTGGTGGTAGTAAAGTCCGAATTGAAACTTGAAAGAAAAATAATATCGAAATTAAAAAAGGGGTTCACATGACGGACCTTCCCTGTCGAGCTCATCCGCTTCCGTAAGCCACATTATCCCCATTCTCCACCGCTGAGGCTCAACTATTCCCTTGTTCTGGAGTCACGGGTTTTGATAGGTACCTACTCAACACATATAATATTCTATACACCGAATTGTACGCTTAGCCGTAAGGTAATTGGATCATGAAATGTATCTACCTATATAGTGAATAGCGTTACATAGCGAGAGGGAGAGAAAGAGTACAACTGATCATACCCAAGGGTACATTTCATTTTAAAGTTATCTGGCAGTCAAGTTTGAACTACACTACACTTATATAAACCTAACTAGCTGTTCTGAATCTCGCTTCTAAATGCAGCTCCGTCGACCCTATATGACTATAAGATCTATGCAAAATTATACAAGATAATACTTCAAGGGTACGGTATGGCTTAATCTATAGACCAAACGCTGTAGGCACATCCATAAGAATAGTTCGACATAGCACTATAGTTTGGAGTAGCACTTCCATTTTTCACACCTGGCCCTGTGAAGAGTTGAGCAAGCCAAAGAGCTTTGGCTATGTTTCATCTTTTAATACTTGTGCCTATGCGGAGGCCCCTACGTTAAGGTTACCATGTCGTATCTTTAGGGGTTTAAATTGATAACTCAGGTTATGGAGGATGTCATCGTACGAGTAATCCCGGATGAAAGACGGCATCTCATGCCAATGGAATGCCATACTAGGGACAACTACAAGGCTCCGGTCGTAAGATTAGAGACCTATAAATTTCACGAGAATAAAATAGTGTGGGAGGGGACGTTAAGTCGCACCAAGATTGACGTGCTATTGTTTTATCGGGAAATATAGAGTCAAGACAGCCGTTGGTGGAGGAGATCCTGCCCGTCTTTCAGCCCAACACCATTCATGTGTATATCACCACCCGAGCTGGCAATGCCAGCTCAATCAATAGCGTCCCACTGACAACGGTCCCGAGAGAAAGAAAAAAAGCTCATCGCAACATAAGAAGTGGGTATGACGGCAACATGTTAGCTAAGGTCTAACAAGTTCCTGCTTTCTTTCTCCATTTTATTTCTGCATCATTAGCTGGACGAACTCGTTGTCTAGTAGCGCGAGTTAGTATGGACAGAACTTTAGTTGATGGGGAGTGTTTGCTTACAGTCGATGCGACCGTCACCGTCCTGGTCAGCCTCGCGAATCATCTCATCAACCTCGTCATCGGTGAGCTTCTCTCCAATAGAAGTCATAACGTGGCGGAGTTCAGCAGCAGAGATGAAGCCGTTGTTGTCACGATCGAAAACCTATTTGAATATAAGCAGCTGGGTATTTGTTTTCGTGGCTAGCATGTTCGAACCTTGAACGCTTCTCGAATCTCCTCCTCGGAGTCGGTGTCCTTCATCTTGCGTGCCATCATCGTCAAGAATTCTGTGCGACCCCAACGTCAGTAAGGCTCCGAGGTGGTACGACTTTGCGCCAGGCAGCAACAAACTCACCAGGGAAGTCAATGGTTCCATTGTTATCGGCATCGACTTCGTTGATCATGTCCTGAAGCTCAGATTCGGAGGGGTTTTGACCCAACGATCGCATGACAGTACCTAGCTCCTTTGTTGTGATTTGTCCTAGCAGTCTTAGGTTAGTCGACTTGGTTCGTCGGTATAGAGCCACGAGGCAGGCGAAGTAGGCAGAGGTAGTTGCGGTATAATTGCTTTTGTCGATCCAAGCAAAAGTAGTATGGCAAGTAGTATGGCTACCAATATCGAGATAATCGAGATAGTAACTTACCATCACCGTCTTTATCCTACGCGAGCCATTAGCGGGTACGTCATCAAAGGCGAGACAATTCGGTAGCTAGTATCAATAGCTATGAAGAGCAAAGAAGCATAATAGGTCTGGGAAACACTTACAAAGAGGGAGAACGCCTCCTTGAACTCGGAGACTTGCTCTTCGGTCAGAGAATCGGCCTGTGATGGTAGAAGACGAGGTCAGCGCGAGCCTTATTTTTACCTCCTTAAGAGCCCCTCATCGGCGGGGTTCTCTCTAGGTTGGCAGTGACTGTCTGAATAGAGACATACCATGGTTGAGCTGTTTTCGAGATGCGATAGATTGTGTATAGGTTTATGATGAAGTTGTAAGGGAGCGAAAAGAACGAGTGTCACTTGTTCGCTATCGCAGTTAACTACAGAAGATGCAAGTTTGCCAAGGAGGAAGAAGGGCCTCTCTGGTTTTGGGAAGCGTCAAGGGTTGGCTCAATAATATTAGGAACAAGGCAGGGCTGGATTCCATAAAAATAAAAATAGTGGGGAGAGAGTGGATGATGGAGGGGCTTTTTGTATGTAGTGTATTGGCACGGGAAGTTATTAGGGGCAGTAGTTAGGGGGTACCTCCTTAAAAGATACAGGTACGTAAAAGGGGGGGAAGCTGCTTTAGACTTGTACAATACGTTGTACGGATAGGGGCTGCCGAGAGGTACCTTAAGCTGAGCAGGGTTGATCTCTTTATTTTTTGTATGTAGATTAGTTAGGTAATCAGTTAAAAAGTGCGTTGATTATTCTAAAACTGGTGGCTTTGCAGGCCCTATTTATATAGCATACATTACGGCCTTTATCATACCTTATTATACTAAGTGACGTGGATTACACCTTGAGTCACTTCTAACATTATATTTTCATCTTTACTGCCACTCGTAGTCTAATACAATATAACTTTACCTAAAGTCCTACCAAGTCCTACATAATCAAATGCATATTAGGTACCTATGTACATACCTCAGTCAGATAGTGTATGTAGTATGGTGCGACTAGAAGGACCGTGCGCTATAAGATGTACATACAGGTTGGCAGGTCGGTACGTGTAATAGGCTAACGTATTGACTTGCATCTATCCGAACCATCAATGCACGTTTAAATGCCAATCAAACCCGAATATTGAATCTACATGCACGTATCTATATGCGGATGCTCTGCTCGTGCGGAATGCGGAATGCTCGTCAGCCCTGCAACCTTGAACCCAAAAAGGAGAGTACGGGCCAGACTGGTCGGAGCTACGTCAGCTGTAAGGGAGCTGGCAATTATACGTATTCTGGTATTGTACATTCGACGCTGTAAATCTGTACAATAGGCACAATATACAATAATCTATGTAGACTCGACGCTCGACGCTCGATTTTATCGTCCGATTACTAACAGCTTAACGCTTTAACATAACATCATTTTTCCACGTTTACCGTATCGTCTCCCATACCCAATTCCTTTCCTCTCCCATCGATATCGGAATAGCCAAAGTGAGGGTGTCAACACCTTCTATCCGCGTCCGCCATGTGGCGAGACCGCACCAACCTGTGAGCCTAGCCCACTCATTATATATATATACCCATGATGTCGCTTAAGACTTACAACCGAAACCTAATGTATGTAGCTATATATCCTACCGCCAATCCTACGCCCACCACCCGGCCAAGAAGACGCGATACGGCCCCGGCCCCAGCGGCGACAGAAATGGCTTCCCGGAATTCGCCCGCGGTAGCGGCACCAGCGCCGAGGACCAGCAGGGTCTGCTCTCGGGCGCCGACTACCACGACGACGGCGACGCCGTCATCGAGATGGACCTGCTACCCCCGCGCTGGGCCGACATCAACGACGAGGTCTCCGACTTGCTCGCCCAAGTCGCCCGCAAGTCGCAGACCCTCGAGCGCCTACATCAGAAGCACGTGCTACCCGGCTTCAACGACGAGGAGGCCAAGAAGGCCGAGGAAGGCGAGATCGAGCGCCTGACCCAGAGCATCACGAAGGCCTTCCACGACTGCCATCGCTGCATCCAGCGCGTCGAGCAGATGGTGCGCGACGGCAAGCAGAGCGGCACCATGACCAGGGCCGAGGAGACCATGGCCAAGAATATACAAATAAGCCTTGCGACGCGAGTGCAAGAGGCAAGCGCCGGCTTCAGGAAAAAGCAAAGCGCATACCTAAAGAGTAATTCCGCCTCCGAATACGCCGGCGATCTGACTCCTAGTGCTAACACTCACTCCAGAGCTCCGCGGAATGTCCGGCCTAGGCGGCACATCCCCCATCGGCGAGCGCAGCTCGACGCCCCTCGGCGGCAGCGGCAGCAGCAGCAACAACTACGCCGCGGACCCATCTCTCCTCGAATCCGACGCCGACCGGTCATACTCGCAATCGGCGCTACAGCAGACGACGCAGCAGCGCCAGCTGCACTCCAACGACGCGGTGATCCTCCAGCGCGAGCGCGAGATCGAGGATATCGCGCAGGGCATCATCGAGCTATCGGACCTGTTCCGGGACCTGCAGACCATGGTCATCGACCAGGGCACGATGCTCGACCGCATCGACTACAACGTCGAGCGCATGGCCACCGACGTCAAGGGCGCCGACCGCGAACTCGTCGTCGCCGCCGGATACCAGAAGAAGACTACCAAGCGCAAGCTTATCCTCCTGCTCGTCCTGCTCATCGTCGGCGCTATAATACTCCTGGCCTTAAAACCGAAAGGCCATCGTGGTGGAGGTGGAGGTGGAGGTGGAGGTGGTAATGATGGAGGGACGGATGGAGGAACCGATGGGGGAGGTGACGGGGGCTAATGAGAGAGCATTTCTGGGTTATGATTGTTGTACGTTTGGGAGGTATGTAGGAAATACGGTATATCATACTTTAGCTCGGGTCATGTCACCGAGCTGTTCGAACTAGAGTTGTCGAGCCACCTATCATGGACATGGGAGGCATTGACGAAATCCTGTATCAGACACGCTTATTTAAATCTTAATTCCGTCTTACGAAGGTGTATACTCTCTCTTCTATCATCTATATAAATCCCTGGGTATCTTTACTCTATATTTTATATGTACATGTAGGCGTTAGATCTATACTACAACACGATATGAAGTTGAGGTGTTGTCCTCCCCATACGTTGTAGATACTGTTCATTTCGTATCATCACCTTCCGCCCGCGAGCCTCAATCTCCTCTTGGAGAGTTTCTAGCGGTGGAAGGAGTTCTTCCCCCCAAGCCTCATCCAGACAAGATTTCATCTCCTTTAACGTTAGCCTGTTGCTCGCTCTGGCCAACTGCCATACCCTCTTCGTCGGATAACCAGGCCCATAGAAGTCGATTAGGCGTAGTTTAATCAGAGCAGCTAGGTGTGGCTTTTCAAAAAAAACGCCGCGGTCGTAAAGGGCCCGTAGCAATCTGACACCTCGACTGCCGCCGAAATTTAAATACCGTTGACGATGACCTTGCGTGGGAGTGATTTGTCCAGATCGTTTCGGGGAGGGGTGAAATGAATAGCGTAAAATAGTCCCCAATAGCTTATTATCGAATATTTGGTGCAACGGATGCAGAGGCGTCGGGGTTGGCAAGTCCAAAGGAATATATACACCCAGAAGATTTTCGACACCGGATAACGGTTGTTTCATAGGTTCCGGTATATCGGCCGGGTGTACGGGAACGAAACCGGGACGAGAAGACTGGAAGGAAGTAAACATATTTGCCAATTCAATACTCAGTTTTTCCAGGTCGTCTACTTTGCCTTGCCGAGCGAGACAGAACAGTATCTTCCGCCAACAGTGAATGGGTACTGGAATTTCCATAGCCGCGAGTTGCCGGCAGATAGGTAGGTAAAAGTAGACTGAATCATCAGGCAGAAATGTTGACTTGGCTTCGCTGATTAAATTTTCAAAAATGAGGCTTGTCTGGTTGGAATCGAGTGCAATTTCCATTGCCTTCATATCGTCTAAAAGCTTCGAGAGCCCTGCTCGGTCTTTGTGTAGGATATAAGTTTGAGCAAGTGCGTTGGCTGTTTGCCGATTCGACTTATCCATCACTGCTAACCGCGTAGCTAACATAAGCCGATGAGTTCTCCAATCTTCTGAATTAGCCGTAGAGACAACGAGGTGAGACTGTAACTCAGCATCATCAAATACGTCTGGATGAAGATCGCTATGTAGAAGATCAAGAAGAAGTTCATCATCATTGGCTTTCGCTAGATAAAGGACCAATCTTAAATAGTTGGATTCGATAACTGAAATCCCCTGCTCGCGTAGTTGCTCGATGCGCTTTAATACGCCCTTTGATTTTCCTTCTCTCAGCGCGATTGATTGCAACGATAACGGTCCAATCTCACTGATGCCCAAAGCGGAAATTGTCGATATGGCAGTGTCCAAACTAACCCAGGAGCTGGCGAGCCACTTGGCTCCTAGTCGATCGTTATAATTCTTGACGCTGATGCCGAACGTCTCACCGTGCACGCGATTCACGAATTCCCGAGATATGTCAATTTTCTCCGTATCTTCCTTTGGCTTGAAGTTCAAGCTGTCGATCGCGGCAGATTCTACGGGATGAAGTGGCATATGAGGGAAGTATCCCTTCAGAAATCTTAAGAAAGGCCTAGGGGAAACATGTGCCAGAGGTAAATCGTCATGTCGAACGCAAATACGTCGCCATCGTGACGCTAGCCGGGACGCGCCCAAGTCGTACAGATATGGGACGAGGATATCATACAGCTGATGATCGGGGTTTACTATGTACAGAGACTCGAGAATAGGAGTACGGTACAGCTCTTTGTCGGTTGCAAACTGCTTGATTATGCTCGCAAACTCGTCTGCGCCCGGGTAGAAGTTTGGAGTCAATCGTAGCTGCCACTGCAGAGCTTGATGGTGTTGGTGAGTGCGTAAAAAATGCGACAGGACTGTCGAGTAGAGCTGCGGCCATTTGACACCATGCACCTCATACATCCACTCGCTGTAAATCCAAACGCTCGTTAGGAACTTGGCCTCCCTAGACTTCACTGCGGCCTCTAACATTGTTCGCCAAAACGCAGGCGCAAGCGGATCCTGGACATCGTACAGCGACTTGCGACCCCAGAGGCCTCTCCAGACGTTCCAAACGCCTAGGTCCCCATTGACTCTCTTCTGGTAATCCAGGAGAACACTCCATAAGGCGAGATCGTTGCGGTTTTCGAATTTGTCTACTAACAGTTGGCTGCGCCATTCTTTGGCGGGACCGCGCCGGTCAAGGTCAGACTCGACAGAGAGACGGTAAGGGTTGGTCAACAGAGCTCTCCATTTCCCAAATAGCTTCGTCTCTTGAATGGGAGGAAGGTTCGGCTTCTGTTGTTGGGTAGGCGTCTTCTGTGTCACTTGGTCCTTACCGGATAGTTCCGACACGAGAACATCGAAAGGACTTTCCGAGCTGTTCGAGGACGATGCTGAGAAATAGTACCGTGAATTCTTTCCAAATTCCGGGGAGGACAACCGAATACCCTGTCTATGCAGCCGAGGGCGTTGGAGCGAAAGTGGGAGTCGAGGATGGAGGACAAAACGCTTTGGCTTCACATCTCGAAGAGTTTTGCTCACCAATCGCATTACTGCCACACGGTTACATACTGCTAGATGACTTAGTCAACTGGAGTAGCCTCAAAAAGAGGAGGAAACGGTGAAGAAAGGGTCCCGAAGGTAGAGAGTGAATAGTAGCTGCATGAAGAAAGAATTTTGAAAGATGAGCTTAGATAGGATTGATAGCTTAGGTAAGGTATTTCGGTACTTTTCGACGTACGGAATAAGCCAATGAAGAAATCGTAGTTGCGCCCATTGGACCGCAGTTAGGACAGGGGGGTTAGTGGGCTGGTGGGGTTTAGCTACAAGGCTTAGCCGAGGTTTTAACGCTTAGTCATATCAGAGCACTACCTAATCCGAGATCCAATCATTCGATGTTTGAATCGCTTCAATTCAAGCTTTCGACAACAGCTCTTTCTATTTCTACACTCTCGAATCCATAACTCTGCTTCCGAACGACCCTCGAACATCTACAAAATGGGGTACGTGTGCACCTTACAACCAAATATCCTTGCGACCGTTCATCTGAACATCAATGGCCTCATTCCGTCCATGCGCGGATTCAAATATCTTTACGATAGACCCAGTTAGCTTCGTTGACGTATACTAACCAGCCGTATAGTCTAATCAACGCCCCCAACAAGGTGCCCCAACACCAGAAATTCTACCAGCAAGCTTATAGAAATCACGTCCGACTCTGGTGGATTGTATGTGCCTAATTTGTCCATTTGCATTCCGTCGGAGGCAGTTATCGACTAACGGAATATACCGCAGAACCCGCGAAGCCCCTATCTACTTATTCCTTACCAGGTCCTGATGTGGAGCACTTTCGGAGGTTCGTTCATCATATTACAAATATCAGTACGGCGAATTCTAACAATAACTACAGCTTCTATGTATATGATGGGACGCAAGATTGCAGGCTACAACACGTGGTTCGGCAAGGACTAGACTGGAAAAGAGATTACGAATAGCATTGTAGATGAGAGAAGCGAGGACGACCACATATGTCCTATCAGGCTGGAGAATATACGGCTGTTCATACAATCCCTACGAGTTTCCTTCTAGTTTTGATGCCTTCATAAATCAACCCTCTTATATCCAGGAAGTCGCGGAATTGATGATAAAATTTGATGTGAATCAGTCCATTACGCCCAAGGCACAAGAAGCCTCTGAAATGCCTGCTATTTACTCGTACATGAATGTTTTCTCTAAGTACAGCCTACGTTGGTAGTAGTAATCCACCCTCGATTTGCTGTTAATAAACCAGCTAGCTGGTAACTTCTATTAGTTGGTCATCTTCGTGCATACTAGTGTTAAGGGCATGTCTAGTATCCTTCGGCTCCGGGGGCCTTCTCGTCCTTGCGCAGGCTCATCAGCAGTTCACGGAAGCGCTCCTTGCCCGAACCACTCGCACCACCCTTCTGGCCTTTACCGCTCACATCCACCAGCTTAGCAATGCGCTCCCAGCTCGTGCCGCCGGAAGTGGTATCGTCTCGGCTAGCTAGGAATTCCTCTGCCTCCTTTCGGGTCTGCGCGATCATCTTCTCTTTCTTGCTGTTGTAGTTCTCGTAGAAATCATCAATGTTCTGTTGAGCCTCCTTGATGGTCTCGGCCTTCTGGGCGGCGAACTGCTCGGCTCGTCGGGCGTTGGCGGCATCCCTCTTTTCGCGCCACTCCTTGATGACTTCAGGTTCCTCTTCTTCCCCGACATAAGCGTTAAAGCCAGAGTTGTAACTGACGGACGGGCCAGTGATAGTACCACCAGGTGCGACTTGCTGTTCATTGGTCATCATTAGGACAAAATCTTGCTACGGCTAACTCAGAAGTTACGAACCTCGTTGGAAGTGTTGATATCAGGGAATTGGCTCTCGAATTGGGCGCTTTCGGCACCGCCTCCTAGAAGATCGTCGGATGAGGGATCCGCAAGGGCCGCAGACTCGTTGCCCGTGGTAAACTGCGTGGCGTCATCGCCAAGGAGAGCGCGTTCTCGAGCGAGGAAATCGTCGGCTGATGGTGAACCGACATCTTGGATCTCGGTCTGGGCTAGCGAAGAGAAATTGGGAGTGAGCGCCTATTGCCAGATTAAAACAAAAAAGTAGGGGGTAGCTCTACTTACCACCAGAATCAAAGTCGTCTAGCGACGGGAATCTGTCTGCCATATTGACAACAGCAATGCGATTAGGTTTTTAAATACGATTGTAGGTGGTTTCTGGTTACCAGCAATGTACGTCGAGGTTGTTATGTAGAGATTCTTGGGAGAATTAACAATATGCAAGAACAAGTCTTAACACTCTTGCAAGGCTTAAGCTGTAGCCTCAAGTATGAATGTTTTGTATGAAGTACAGATTACAGTTGCATGCATGGATGGATCAGGACACAGTGTGTTCAAGGCGTTAGTCGCGGAATTATCGTGATGCGCACTGTCCACGTCTTATCGCTTCAGGTACTATCTACCTAAGTACGTACTAAATTACCTGACGTTGATGCCTTGGAAAAAAGGATGGCAACTTCCCATTGATATAATTGGTAAAAATAGCCCGTGTACAACGCTAATCACGTGCTCCAATCATCTGAGATCGACGGTATTATGTACGTTCCCGCTCATAGCTCCACTAACTTCCATTTTATGCATCTTACCTCTAACAACTACTTAAAGCTAGATATCACAAAACAAAACAAACAAGCAGAATCAAGCAGCTGTCTAAAGTGGTTCTTACCAGCCTTACCACCTTCTGTTTTGTGCTGGACTCGAGTTATTTTCTCTTATCTCATGATATTTCGCAAGTAGGCTAGACTACCTCTAAGCAATATCTGCGCGTCTTCAGCCCGCGTCAAGATGAAATCCTGGTAGCCAACTGTAGATTGATTCATCAAGTAAACTACATTCCAATTCACTCACGGAAGAGCCCAATTCAATCCAGCACAAATCCCTACTCCAAATCCTTACTCCAAATCCTCGATTCAACAAGTCGACATGGCCTACACGGACGATGCTGTGTTGGCCAAGCTCTCTGCCCTCTCCGAGGCGGCAGACAGCATTGTGTCCGTATCCCAGTGGATCATGTTTCATAGGTAGGCAAACTCGAGCACATGCCCATTAAGCAATCCGTGCTGCCTAGTAGATAATTACTGACTTGTTTGTCGGACATCAGACGCCATGCAGATCGAACAGTGCAACTGTGGCTTCAACGCCTTAGAGATTCTACAAGTCACAAGCGATTGAATCTCATCTATCTTGCCAATGGTAAGTGTTATCAACTCATATGGACCCCCCCAAGCTGCTGTGCTTGTACAAATTGCCCCTATTTCGTCAAAACCTAACACTTTTGTAGAGGTTGCACAACAGACGAAAGCTCGTCATAGAGATGATTTCGTTGTCGCATTCTCTCCTATTATTGCGGAAGCCGTCGCCACCGCTTATAAGGGTGCATCGGCCGATATACAGCAAAGGATCAAACGGGTCGTTGACGTCTGGAAAGAACGCGCTGTCTTTGAGACGCCAATATTAGAAGCGATAGAAGCTCGCGTCCAGGGTAAACCTCCGTTTCCTAATGTCATATACAAGTATCATACTAATTATATGAAGAAATCAATGAGGCCCGCGGTACCGCTAAGGCCGGGCTGGGTGGCTCAATATTTGGGTCCGCCTCCGCCTCCATTCCAACGGAACTAGCCCCCCTGACAACTCCTCAGCAAAATGTGACGAAGCTACTTTTAAGTACAAAGTCCACCGTTAACACAGCCAATCAAGAATATGACAAATTATTGGGCCCTGGAAGCACTGCACCTTCTGCCCCTGTGTATGCTGCCCGTCTAAGCGGATTGCTTAAGACACTAGCCCAGGCGGAAGGAGCAGTAGACCAATGTGTGAAGGCTCGCCGGGAGCTTGTTGCAGCTCTGCAGAAGGTTCTAGACAGCAACAGAAATGCACTAATATCCGAGGAAGATCAGCTGGAAACTTTCGTAAGACGAAGAATGGAGGTGGAAGATAAGAAGACTGAGGTCGAGAGAGCAATTATGGCGGGACTTCCAGATGACGAGCCTTACTTCAGCAATGGCCAAAATGATCATCCCGATCCAGAGCCTGATAGACCAGAGATTGAGGAACTCACACCACCACCTATGGAACCGGACTTTCCGGGAAACACCGACATGACGGACAATACAGGTAGTACCCAAGAAACCACCGGCCAACCGCCCACCGTGGAGGATACCGACACTCACGCTAATCTTAGCGTCCAGTATAAGTCGGTGCCAACTACGATGAACGGGTCTAAGAAACGCAAGCTCGATGATGGCAATGATTTTCCCGACTTAGGAGAAGATGATGGCATCGACTCGGACGTGGCCGAAATGCTTCGTAGGGACAGCAGCGGTTCGTAATCTTGGCGGGCATGGCTCGAACTAACTTTGCGCATGTCCCCCAAATGATATCCTGAAGATATTGAGTAGAGGGTGGAGACGAATCGATGTATATTAATGTGAATTTTGCATTTCAGGGTGGCTCTTTTTGATTTCTAATACCAAAATTATATGAGCTTGCTAGGTATTCTTGTTCACCAAGGATATACCGTCCTTTTTCTACTTAGGGTATAGGCGTATGGCTACAACCTATGCAGAATAATTATAGACCTTATTTAACTACCTAGGTACTCATAAAGCAGGCACTGTTACAGTGTCGGTGGATAGACTCCTGGCAATGCATGTTATGTTTCAAGAAGCTAGCTTGCTTGCTCTTCCTCATAGAAGAGTAGAATCCAGATTGTTTATCAGAAGTCTACCCGGAGCTTTTTCAACCTTAGTATGATATCAGTGTAGTTATTCCTAGAAGTGACCGCAGAATAAGGCGCAGAATATACTATTCACGCCATTCAGAAACAAAGCTAAATACCCAGGTATCTTCTCACCACGTACATCCCAAGAGATCACTTCGACATACAAACTACATTTGACAAGCATCGCGAATCACACTGGCCTACCTTCTATGTACTTAGGTACCTAAGTATCCAAGTATTTACGTAGTAACTCTGCACTAGACTCTACAAGGAATTGAAGATAATATACCGGAGTTATGCCGATTAACTCTATACGCAAGTACTTGGATGATGCATAAGCAATTCGAAGCTTCAGCGGTTTTAGTGAATTACTCGGTACGGATGACGGCATTGTTCCCAACTTTTTTTTTTTTCCTTTCTTTTTTACCACCGAGGTTGCCAACGAAACTTGCACAGTTGAAAATAAAAGACAGTGAAGCTCGAGTCAGCTTCGCTTCGATGGTGCGAACCCTGCGCAAGGGAACACACCTGCATCGATCCATGACGACCCGGCGAGAATAAAGCGCACAAGATGCCTTCGGGAGCATTGGGCCGCGCTGTAGTGGGAAGCCTCCCGCAACGCGGTGTCGGCGTCGCAAAGAGCTTCTCTCACCAATCTGCCCTCTTACCATGTCATGTACTCTGCGCCCTTCCTAGACGACCAATTGCTCCGGAACTTCCGTCACAGCCGCTCTTCCAGACCTCTCCTTCAGTTTTCAAGACGAACTATCACTCATCTCGCCTCATCCGATCGCAAACGCCGCCAGCCTTTTCTCCGAGGCTCGGCGTTACTTCTACGTCACGAATACAAGTATCGAACTCGCCATGGAAATCGCCAGTTGGTGTGCTGAGACAGATATCTACGAATCAACCGTCTAACCGAGAGAATAATCTTAATGTGACCATACCGAATAACGAAAAGAGGGACATCAGCATCGTTGCTTCAAAGGCGGCTAAGACTGTGGAAGACGTTGCGCAATCCTACGAGGGTTTCGGCAAAAGTGAAAAAGCTACGAAGGCGGCTCAGGTCAACTTACGCGCTCGTCTTTCCCACGATGGAAAAGATGGCAAGAAAAGCTCGGCCTCGTTCGACGAGATCTGGCGCCTCATCAAGATCGCGAAGCCAGAGGCAAAGAATCTTACTATTGCCGTGGTGTTGCTACTTCTCTCTTCGGCCCTCTTCGTATCGCTCCCCCTAGTTGTCGGCAAAGTCATGAATGTTGCTACTGCGAAAGCTCCTGCAGAAACAGAAATGTTCGGCCTATCACTCTACCAGTTCTTCGCTGTTTTCGGCTTGGCTCTTACCCTCGGCGCGTGCGCTAATTTTGGACGTATTGTCCTGCTGCGAATCGTCGGCGAGAGAGTCGTCACACGCCTACGATCGCAGCTCTTCAGGAGGACGTATAGCCAGGATGCCGAATTTTTCGATGCGAACAGGGTCGGTGATCTGATTTCTCGGCTCGGCACGGACACTATTATAGTGGGCAAGAGTATTACGCAAAATGTATCAGACGGATTAAGATCGATGGTGAACAGCGTTGCGGGACTCGCATTGATGGCCTGGATCAGCCCCAGTCTCACTGCTATTATCTTGCTCGCTGCCCCTTTCATCGGTAGCGCCTCTTTCGTGTACTCTCGCATCATCCGGAGGATAAGCCGTAAGATGCAGCAGAACCTAGGGACTCTTACTAAGATCGCGGAAGAACGCTTGGGAAATGTCAGGACCAGTCAGGCTTTTGTCGGTGAGGCCCAGGAGGTCCGTCGGTATAACAATCAGGTCAGGAAGGTCTTTGATCTCGGGAAGAAGCAGTCTATATACGATGCGTCGTACTTTTCTGGGACATCCTGGATGGGTAACATGACGATAATTGCTTTGCTCTGGTTCGGTGGAAATCTCGTGAGAGACGGTATAATGACAGCTGGAGATCTCACTACTTTTGTCATGTACACGTTCTGGGCCGGTGGCGGGTTATTCGGCGTGGCCAACTTTTACTCAGAACTAATGAAAGGAGTCGGCGCTGCTACGCGTATCTTCGAACTTCAAGATCGGGACCCAGCTATCTCCTCGACCAAGGGGTTCAAAATCACATCAGCACAAGGACCCATCAAATTCGAGAATGTCTCTTTCGCCTACCCTACACGTCCTGCTGTGATGATCTTCAACAACCTGAATTTCGAGATCCCATCGGGCACTAATGTGTGCATAGTTGGCCCTTCAGGCGGAGGAAAATCGACCGTGTCGTCTTTATTACTGAGGTTCTACAACCCTACCTCTGGCACCATCAAGATCAACGACATGGACATTACTAAGATGAACGCGAAGTCGCTACGACGTCGCATCGGCATGGTATCCCAGGAACCAGTACTGTTTTCGGGCACGGTAGCTGAAAATATCGCCTATGGAAAACCAGACGCTACGAGGTCAGAGATAATAACGGCCGCGCAAAAGGCTAACTGTGGATTTATTGCCGATTTTCCCCAGGGTCTCGAGACGCAAGTCGGCCCCAGGGGCGCACAACTCTCGGGCGGGCAGAAACAGCGTATCGCTATCGCACGAGCACTCATTAAAGACCCTGACATTCTCATCCTAGACGAGGCTACTTCAGCTCTAGACGCGGAATCCGAAACAGCAGTCAACCTAGCTCTAGCGGGACTACTCAAAGGCCGCAGGAGGACAACTATTTCGATCGCACACCGGCTCTCTACGATCAAGCGCTCAGAGAAGATTATCGTGTTATCTAACCAGGGCACGGTCGCCGAAGTGGGATCCTACGAGGAACTCAGCGCAAACCCGCACAGTGAATTCACCCGGCTAATGGAGTGGCAGATGAGCGGAGGTGAGATCCCAACCAGAGCACAAGGCCCCGCACTCTCGGAATCCGAGATAATCGAGGAAGACCTCGAGGAGGATAAAGATGAGGAGCTTGGCGAAGAGGAAGAGGAAGAAAGAAAACAGAAATCGGAGAAGTAATAGTCACGCATCTCATAAAACATAGCACGCATTTTTTTTGCATGAAAAACGGAACAGCGGTGGAGGTCTATTGCCATTTTTTCTGGTTTCCTGCGTATTCATGGGGGGCTCTTACAATAAAAAGTTGGGCTCTTAGAGAGGGAAGGGGTCACCAGGTATAAGAAGACATACACAGGCACTGGAGGGGTTCTTGGGTGATGATGAATGGACAACTTGTATGTATATGTACGTGTAGAGTAATGCGTCCGGAACTCCACTCGATTTAGGTGAATATACCACGACGAGGCATAAGCTAGACTTGGGATAGAGTCAGCGAACCCCTTGGATAGAAAGAAGGGAGAGGGTTGATGACTCATGGGGTTGGGCTTGTAGAGTGATACATCTACGGTATGATGAGTCAAGGGGTAAAATATACTTTTTACTTCTGTGGCGATGCTGTGATGGCGCGTACCTAATGCATGGAGATGTAGCGTTGTTATTACCGCCATTGAATCGGTCTTTTCGAGGACTTTAGTATGTGTATATATTATACCTGTTTATCATAGCGAGCTAAGTTATGATTATTTCCATTTTCTCTAGCTAGAGGGATTCTGCATGGAATAATTGCTAGCGATATTCCTGAGCAACAATAACATCCGTGCACAGGCTTGGTTTACAGGGAATTAAAGTATAGTATGCATTGATATTCATTTTACCTTGGGCAACGGATATACTATGTAGCTAGAGTCATGATATGATGGTTGGAGGATGACGTACGTCTTTTGATATTTACTACCGTTGCCTAGGTATATAGTTAGCATACGAGTAATTTAGCCTCGGTGACGTGCTCTTCTGATTACTAGATCGGATTAAACTACAAATGCCTAATTTAGCGACATAGAACGTTTCAGAGGTTCCTACTTGTGATATCTTGGTTTGTACTCCTAATTTGAGGTCTATTAAGAACGTTCTGCCACCCCCTTTTACACACTGACCAACACCGCCACACCTTCCACCTCATAAGACAGACAAACAAACGTGAGATACCGACTTGAGGGTACCTTCAATGATGGAATTGAAATATATGTTGGTATTATTATAGCAATATCGGTTTGATCACTAAAATTCGAGAAATTATCATGGCGGTGCGTAGCTCAGGGGTAACACGTAAGCCACCAGAGAGGTATCTCGGATTAAGTTTAACTACGTGACCGTGAGACGTATAGTCTGCCTCACATCTGCATGTAGATCTGTTAAGACTAAGCTGTATTAATAATCATCAATATCATTACTATAGGAACGGTGTTTTAGTCCATGTGTATAGGCACTAAGCATCACGCTTAGGGAACGTTATTAAAACATATAAAGTTCGTTGGCGGAATTAAAGGGCGTTGCTCAGCCCTCCCAATGAGTAAATATAAACAAGAAAAGGACCGAATAGAAATATACTTAAGCAACGAGTCCGTGAAACCTTGGCACGAGAGAATATTAAAGAATTTTTTTCAAGGGCCCTGTTTACACATGCTCATATGCCAAACTTTGTTAGCCATGACCTCCTATTTCTTAGCAATTTCCTCGCTATGGGCGTTGCGACTGTCCGAGCTACGGGGACGATTCGGTCGTCTGAAAATTTCGTAACCAGATACTACCTCAAGTAGACAAATATTATAACTCTAATACCTATACTAACAGTTACTAACAGTGAGTTAGACTTCGATGGGAGTCATACCGTTTCAACCTCTCTCTGATGGTCCTAAAACTACCCTATAAGTAGCCCGATTCACCCAGTCCTTGTCCACTCCGTTCTCTTTCATCTTTCATTATCACAACGTCTTGGAACAACTGCGAATCAACAAGCTTGAGACTACACCATTTCGAGACTCCTATTTCAAGAATCTACTACTCCAAGGCCTTACTGCTTCAGAATTAGCAATACTCGATTATCTCACCAAGATTATTAATTAATATTCAACAACCAACATCTCATCAAAGCTTACAACTCAACATGTCGAACGAATCTGTAACAAGCTTTTTCAACCGCTACCACCGTCACCCATCTCGAATAATAGAGGAACGGATGGTTACCCCGGCTTTCGATCTGGATTATATACCCGCGCCAACGTACGAAAATAAGTAAGTATCCGATTCCGAAAGAGACAAGGGAAACTACTCTTCTAACAGATAAATGTTCCTAGACCTACGGATATAAGGATTTTGCTGCCCGAATCTAAGAAAGAATGGCGGGTCCATAGCGATGTGATTACTGGCGAAAGCAACTTCTTTAGAATGGCACTAGCCGGCCCATTCTTGGTGAGTGTCACCTACCTATCTTCGTTCTGTCGATGGCAATGCTAACTAGAAGTAGGAGAGCAGGACCAAGGAAATCAAGCTCTACGAAATTGACGACAAAATCATGGAATTCGTCGTGAAATACATGTACAAAGGCTGTAAGTATCTCACCATCTATCATCTCACTACTAAGGTACCGCTCAAGGTATATAAAATTGAAAGATTATATAAAAATGAAAGATATCTACTAGTAACTAACTAGGTATATTTCCACACAGGGTCCTCCGCAGCCACGTCAGCCTTCGGACTAGAAGACGGCGCCGCGGTACCGCCGAGCGAAATCGCCGAGATCCTCATCGCCGCCGATTTCCTCGACGTGCCCCGGCTCTGCTACGCGGCGTACCACATGATGCTGCGCGGGATGGTCAGCGTCGTGGTGCTGGCCAAGACGGAGTCGCCGTACTCGCACGTCTCGCACCGCGCGAGACAACCTTTCCTCCGCGCGGCGGGGGTCCTGGAGAAGAGCAAGACGGATGTCGGCATCGACTTGGCGGGAGGAATACGCATGTTGATGGAGAAGCTGCGGAAGGCGTGGGACTTGGACAGCGCTGTCAAGGCGTTCGTGGATGCCTTTCCGACCGACCACTCACTCGTCAACTTGGAGCTTCTGTGGGAGAGCCACGGGGTTGTGGGTAGTGATGGTGGAGGAGGTGTCAAGGCTATATGGATTATATGGGTGGATTGATTCAATAAAATATTCAGTGATGGTGGTATCTAACAAGTCTTTAAGTAAATCTATGCGCCGTGACTGTCATCTAATCATTATGTTTTCTCAAAGGCTAAGCTCATAACGTCGTCCTAGTCAGTCACTCCTTAACGACACTCGTGCTCATTAAAATCATCCTCTCATATCCCACCTCCCTAGCCTAGTGCCTCCGCCGAAAGATGCCCAACAAGCCACGGTTGCTATCCGTGCTCGTTCGAGGACTCTTTTCCCTATACGCCGTCGGCCCAAATTGCCTGCGCGGCATACAGCACGAGACGGTCCAGAATGCTAACGTCACGAACATGACTGCGAACGCCACCCAGGAAATAATCATAAACTGGGTGCCCTCGACGGCGGAGATGCCGTACTCGGCGCCCTGGTCGTTGATCTCGGACGCTCCTCTCTTCGAGATGGCCGTCGCGATCGCGGCGCCAGCCGCAAGCGACAAGGCGGCTAGTGCGGCAAGCACCATGTTGACGAGGATAGCTCCTCTCCCGATGACTTCGCGTCTTAGCGTCAGGGTGATGATGCACGACAGGAAAGATAGGCCGGAGAAGCCGGCCCCGAGAACGAAGAGGATGAATGTTGCTAGCAGGAACTTGTTGACGTAGTCGATGGTCTGTTGGATCGAGTCTGGGATCGGGATATTGGCTGCGTTGATGTTTAGGGGGCCGGCGCTGATCTCCTTCTGGAGGATGTCGGTGAGATTGAATTGAACTAGTTAGAAGCAAGGCGTTAGCTATATATCAGCCTTATTTAGTTGATAAAAGAGGATGGTGATGATCCTTACCTCCTGCGGACTGTGCTGTGCAGTTGGTCGTATTGTACCAAGCACCCGGCGAAGTGGCATTCGGCGCAAAGTTGCCCTCGCAAGCAGTCGTGACGTGTATGCTATACCACTGAGAAATACCTAGTTCGCGGGAAAGTTGGTCGGCGATATCATTTGCGATACCGTTCAACTCGTCTGCGATCTGGCCTTCGATGTCGTCGAGTCCATCTTGTATGTCATCCCAACCAAACCCATCGCCGTTGGTGGCCGTGGGTTGGGAACCGGAAGAGCTTGCAGTTGGTACGAGATCGTGACCAAAAGTGGACATGTTAATCTAGAAATGCGGTTAGCTTGAGGTTTTTTATGAATTATGGCTTATGGGTGTTGGGCACATACGGCAATGATGTGATATTGTTCCATCGATTGCTGCTGCGATCCGGAGCCAGCAAAGAGCGCTATCATTGCCAGTACGAATCCCACCAGCGACAAGATGGTTGGGATAGCCACCATTAGTGGTCTAGTATAACCGCGTTTTACAGCCATATTTCCGTAGGTTAGTTGATTGATGTTGGGGTGATTCTGATCAGTTGGTCCTCTGACAATTAGATATAGCCTCAGATAGGGGTTTGTGTTAATTGATTTAACAAATAAAAAATGAAAAGTCTCAGCTGGCGAGACTCAATATGAATTTAAATAATTAGAAGAATAGAAGAATTAAAGCGAAGAACAAAGATGATGAAGCAAACTATTACATTGTCGAATACAATGGGTAATTTATGAATGTCGTATGTGCTACTTAATATGGCCATCGGATAACAGCCTTGTGATATACATACAGCACATGTATAACATGCATCATCTACCCAAAAGAAATAACTCCGAAAGATCACCATTTATTCGTCCGAATTCCACTTGTAAATTGAATGGCCAGGGGCTTCTTTGGTCTACTCTGGTAATAGACATCTACTCGGCATACGTATACGATACGTAGGTATGTATGTACAATTATACCTTGTCTGGTCTACTTCGAGACGAGGGAAAACTCATCATGTACTCTATCGTTCGTTCTATTGTAAGTACCAGCGATCAAAAAACATGCCATGCATGTGTTAGTATTCATAGGCCGCATCTGAGTGGGCAGCAAGTTGCGTCACGGAGTAGTTTTGCCTCCTTTAGTCCATGTCGGTCGCTATGATTGGCTGTTCACTAGCGTTGCGTCATAAGGGAACTGACCCCCCTGTAAAACCTGTTCGACACCTTGTATTATAGCCAGTCAACCCCGGCAGCCCGGTTGGTGATTCGTTTGTTACAGGTAGGCAACTAGGCAGCTAGGTTAGGGACTAAATAGCCCCAGCCACCGCAGAGTGTTCTTGTGAGAATAATCCGTGGCCATACGGTAATATTTCTTGGCGGCCTTTTGAAACGGCGTCACAAGGAGGAAGCGTTTAACAGAAATCTCGAAATAGCCAGAGTTACACAGTAGATCAGTAGGTAGATATGTTATAAAGTAATTCAGTTGTGAGAAAGCTATCGTGGGATGCCTTTATTCTAATTGTTGAGAGGTGTCGAATAGCTTGGCTTTGCGTCTTTATTATTTGCTGGTAATCGTCTTGGTGTATTTCAAAATTCAAGGCTTTTAATTGTATCCTAAAGTTAAGTTATTGGTCCTCTCGGCTATGACATGCCTTTCCGTATCTATAGCCACATCATAACGACACCCCGCGTCGTTGGCTCTCTGCAACCGCCTTCTCACTGTCTGTAAGGGCATCTTTTTCCACGGTGATCCAACGACCCCTCCCTGACCGCTGTGTTCTGATATGCTTTTCTACTGCTGTCGCAGACTCAATCCAATCCGCAAACCGGAGGATTTGACCGCTTGATGAATCGTCCGAAAGGGCATACCCGGAACAAAGTCTCAGGGTTGTGATTTTCCCCCAGTCACCCACCCAGTCAATAAAATCGACTGTGAAGTCTCCATCTGACTCTACTCTCAATGCTGGGAACCAATCCCCACATCCGGTCAAATCGAGGTATTCTAAACTATATAGAGACTTGCTTAGACGCTTCAATACCAGTATCGCTTCCGACCAGTCGCCGTCTAAATTATGACTATATGGCCCGGTGCCACCATATTGGACGCTTCTTCCAGTTAACGGTGACGCCATCTTCGCAAATTTTGCATTTGGCGTCAAAGATGGTTCCGGCCAGCCAGACAGATCGAGGTGCGTAAGTGTTTGTAACTTGCTAGCTAATGAAAGTAGCTGCTTCCACGAAGCGGCGGGCGCATTTCCGGGCTCGACTGCGAGGGATAGCTGTGTTAAGTTCGGTAAGAGCTTAACCGGCCCGGAAACGGGTTCTGGAGCTTCCCACGATTCCTGAAGATCAAGCTCGACTGTGACTGGAGGATAGAGCAACTCGCCTAACTCTTTCAATGACATCGACTTCCCCACCGAGCCGCTTAGGTCCAAACAAAACATGTCCCCGTTTAGTTTATCCAAATCGGGCTTTTCTACCTCGTATTGTGCGAGCTTCTCATCTGCAGGGCCAGTAAGGATCAGTCGCAGGTCGCTGATAGACAGTCCTGGTTCATGAAGCTCCGAGATACAACTAATCAAGGTTGTCCGTAATTGACTAGGTAGCGTATATAGATAAAACTGATTCCAATGCCGCTGCTGCTCCCAATCTAGGGCCATCCGTCGTACTAGCCGATCCACGAAACTGCCATTGGCGGGAGTATAGATGCCCGGTAAGGGCCAGTGCTGAATATGCCCTCCAAGGTCTCTTCCGAGGTCGGCGGGGGCATGTCGCGACTGCGCTAACGATACCCAGCTACGCGGTGGCGGTGGGCCTGGGGGTGCCCGTCGACCATGCGCGTGGAGACGTTGAGGCCGTCGGGGTGCTGGAGCGGGTGTCTCGGGAATCTGGAGGATTTGGCGGATCGAAGGCGGAACGGTAGGAGTCGCTACGGGGAAATCACTCGAAGCGCCATTTTGTTTTATGCTAGTCCGTCGCAAGTCGGCTAGAAGTTGGTTGACGGAACGTCCATGCTGATCTGCGCGGTGATTGTTAGTCACGATGCGTACGCTCGGAGTTTGCGGGAGTTAAGAGATTGACTTACTAGAGGTGGCCCTCGACGAGGAGGACAGCGCAAGTGATGGCGGAGCTACTGAAGGAGGTTTCGAGTATTTATTATTATGTCTTTTCTTAGGCATAACAGTTGAGGATGGGATAAACCTATCTCGACTGTTTGCGAAAAGAAGAAGTCGCAGAAATTAAGAAGAGCGTTAGCAAATTAAGTAAAATCGACCCAACGGTGCAAGAATTGGAGATGACTTGATTGACTCATCAGAGATTATGTAATCACCCTGCCCTTCCTTCCAGAAACCTACATGTAGGTACAGATCCATTCTATCATACCTGCCTCGTTTACTCAAGTCTTTGTCATAAATTATTTACGTTTGGTCCCTACCTCTTAAGGCGATTATTTCTATATTAACTTTATTCGAGGTCATAAGACTCTTATAATTTTCATACCTAAGAACAGAATACGAACTTTGACTGGTAGAGAAAACAATAGTTTTCAATACACACTACAACATCCATTCATTGAACTTTTACTTTTATCTAACCGTTTAGTTTTTTAACCTAATATAGCACCAATACCCAAATTTCCTCATTATTACAATCCAACACCGGTCCCAATACCGGTGCATCGTTCCGTAGTTTTAGATTTAACATATCTGGGACATTGTGAGGTAGCATTGGCGGATGGACAGGCTCTTTACCGTCCTGCCACAACATTTAGGACCCCACCGTCCACCGCGATGATCTCCCCGTTCACATATTGGTTCTTGGCGAGATATAGTACCGTCATCCCCATTTCTTCCTCACGTCCAGCTCTCATTAGCGGGACGTGGCCTTTATCTTGGATCTTCTCTGGCGACACATAGCTCTTCTGCTTATCATCACTGCTCTTAGCGGTCACTGAAGCAAACAAGGTTGTTAGCTCGGCAGTCGTCGATATCGACCTGGTTGGAGAAAGGGGTATGTAGGGGATAGAAGCTCTGAAATAACTCACTTTCGCTAGGGAAATATCCCGGCGCAATGGAGTTGACTCTGATTCCGGCCTTTTGGAACTCTGCGCTCATAAGTTTTGTCAAGTGCACCGTGGCCCCCTTGGCCGTGTTATAGCTGAAGTGGCCCTGTGCATGTCGCATGATGCCCGACATAGAGGATATGGTAATTACAGAGGGTGAGTAAGGCTCAAGAGGGCCTTTCGGATGGACGCCTTGCTGTAGCAGCGGAAGGAAGGCCACGGTGGTAAAGTACACCGCCGTAACATTAGTGTTGAAGTTATCGTGCCAATCGCTAGGATCCTCGTTATTCCAAAGCCTAGCCTTGAGATCTTCCGCCTCAGCGTCCTCCGGCTCGGCTTTCGGACCCGAGATGCCGGCGTTGCACACCAGGAGGTTGATGTACTTCTCGCGCTTGCTCAGATCCGCAACCAGCTTCTCTAGGTCGTCCTTGCTGGTCACGTCGCACGGCCCGATCGGGATGATCTGCCCGCTATTCTTGGCCGGTTGGTGGCTTTTCGCCGCGTTCTCGAGCACTTCCTCCCGCCGACCAGTGATGTAGACTTTGGCGCCGTTCGCGGCGAGTGCCTGCGCGGCCATTAATCCTATCCCGGTCCCGCCGCCGGTGACTACTGCGACGTAGTCTTGGACTCCGAAGAGCCTGTTTACGTCGAATTGGTTTGTGTTGGCCATTGTGAAAGGTGGACTACGATAATGACGATGATAATGATGTATAAGTGTTAATGCGTAGTTTTAGAAATATCCAGTAACTAACTAGATAAATAAGGTGATAGTCTTTTAAAATATATGCTTGAGGAGTAATATAATTGGATTCAAGGAGGATTAGTCTAAGGATAATCAAGTCTGCCCGTCACGGTGAAGTCAAGACAATGCCGCTTTGAAAGATTGTATTAGAGGTGTGTCTCTTATATCGCGATGAGTGGTGACGTAACTGTACCTGGCGCCCACGTGTAGCAGGGATCTTATACGCGGCACAGGGGTGCATCTGAGCCTTAATGACGCCTATTACGACTATATCATTGATAATAATTATAACTGTATCGTATATTATCGATTTGCTATACAGCGTAGTTTCTTCAATCGATGCGCTGTTGTTGAAGGCTGCCGGCCTTTAAGTCAATGCTAGTGCCATTTTTGAACATCACCGACTCTCTTGAATCTTATAAGATCAGTCCATCTCTCTTAAAGTTAAAGTGTGGGGAACTACTCATTTAATTATATTAATATTCGCTATTCGAAGAGGCGAGGATGTTTTCAATGGAGAAAGCCATCTAGGTTAGACATCTCCTCCAACATCCCGTGTCCGCACACAGTTGTCAAATAGCAATGTAACCATTTGCCAACTATTCGATCCGACATAAATACGCACGCCTTGTTGGCCTCTAAAGTGTACACGGATGTATTATCATCAGCGCCAATCACGTTACCATCCCCTGTTTCGATCACTATTGCGACGACAGGCTACTCATAAGTGTGAGTTCGTGGCGCCTTACTTACAGACGCAATTGCGCGGATCGAACCGAAGGGTGTAGGTAGGGTAGGGTAGATGTCGGGCGTAGACTAAGCCTCGTTGATGTGTTGAAGGGATATCGGAGATAAGGCTACAACCCAGATGTGTGACCCCCAACCAAGGTGCGTATATGTCCTGCGAGGTGGTGTATAACATGCAGTGTTGAAGGGAACTGAAGTGTAGCCTGTGTTAGTTAAGGAAATCAGAAGCACTTATTTATATCCCCCTTTAGTTGCTAGATAACTCCTTAGAATTGGAACTTTTCGATAGTTATGTTGAACTCTTAGGTAAATATTATTCTAAAGTTCTAAAGTTCTATTCCTCAGATGTTTAACTCCCCCCTATTACCCCCTTTTATTCTTCCAAGCGAATATTTATCTACATCTTGCCTACCTATATGTCATGCCTATCCAACCGAAAGGAAATAATCGCGACTTCCTGGTCATCAATATTGTTCCGGGGCCTTTTACGCTGCTGGCAGCCGCGTGCATAGTTCTGCGTTTCATTCATCATCACCGGAAGAGGATTATTTGGTGGGACGATTGGGCCATCTTGGCAGCATTCGTTACGGGCGCTGGGGCATATATTTCCGGTCTTCTATGTACCTTAGCAGGCTATCGCATCGACGAGTATACGATTTCGCAGTTGAATACATGTGCGAAGGTGGGGTTTACCCCTATATCATTTATTTTCTTTCCCCCCATCAATAAACGAAAGCTGATATTATTAGTAATAGACGGGACTCGCGGGCGAAGTTCTCTACACGGTCAGCGTTGCGTTTTCCAAGATCTCGGTTTTGCTATTTTATAAACGCATATTTGATGTCGATACGCAATTCTTTCTGTTTACACGCATCATGACAATCCTCGTTATAGAGGCTTGCTTCACGTACACGTTCGGTCTTATCTTCACTACTATCCCGGCAAAAGCACAATGGGATGTCAATATCATTCACACGTCGATAAACGCTGTGGCATTATATATGGCCATGGGCACTATCAACATACTCATAGATGTAGTTATCATAGCTTTGGTCCAGCGGAAAGTATGGAAGCTGCAGATGGCTTATCGACGTAAACTTGTGATATCCTTTCTATTTCTCCTAGCTATATCGTATGTACTGGAGAGTTCCTATTTATCGTTACATACTCCTTGAATTGATCTTGCTAACTAACCTCTTTAGATCTGTTGCCTTTGGTATTTTACGCGTCGTCTATACCGGCACTATGAACCCCGACAATGCTACGTGTAAGTTGATAGAAAGACTCGGACTTTTGATAGCCTGATATTCGCGTAACCGGACTAATAATTTTCCCCCAGATACTTTGACACTTGCTTGGCTATGGGCGAATCTGGAGCTTTTCTTATATATCATCTGCGCTTGTCTTCCCATCGTCTATAACTTCTACCGCTCAAAATTCCCTAGCCATTCCAAGAACGACTCATGGAAAACCAATGAGATGTATTACCCCCAGGTGATGCATGGCAGTAACCCTCTTAAAGAAAAGAGAAGCAAATATTACGAATTAGATGAGGAGACATGTGCTTCCGATAATTCCATTGCATATGGGGCTCGAAACGAAGACCTAAGGAAAACACAGAGCACGGAACCTTTAGTTCGTCCTGAACGAGCTTTACACCGTGACGAGATCTACGGCCGTCTCAGCATCCTAGAAAAGGATTACGCGGCGGAGCAGAGGTATATTGGTATAGGTACTGTGTAGTCCATGTCACCAGTCCGTTTGAGCCGGTTCCTTAGCATTCAAGGGACCTCGCTTAACAGGACGCCATAATCTTGGACGACCTAACAGACCGTCTCTTGATCGGAAAGCTATTTTCCTTAAAAGGGTTTTTCGTAATAGGCACCGGAACAGGGGAGTTAATTATCCGCCTCGTGAAGGCAATGGACTATAAGGACACGAGCAGCGTGATTATACTGATATCCTATTAGTTTCCTTTGGCTAGTTATGCCAAAGAGAAGCTTTATAGCGGCCTCGGGAAAAGGAATGCCTGGGTGTTTGATATTTCCTGAGATCTCGTCGTCTAGAAATTCGACCTAACCTAGGCTATTATATTATATCTTAGGGTTTGAAAGTAAATTTGCATGCATTGCTATTTAAAATAATACAACCATCGCACCCAATTATAGATCGCACTGCGCTGATACTGCTCTTCAAACGCGGTGCTTGCGGATATATATACAAAGGGATTTAATATTTCAGAATTCCCCCTAATAGGCCTACTCCTCTTACAACTTCGCTACCATCTTGGCGCCTTGGCTCAGCATCGCTGTGGCGTCCTCAATGAATTCATCCACGATGGCCTTGGCGCTCTTCTGCTCGTTCACTAGTGCGGCACACTTGCCCATCAAGTAGGGTCGGAACTGGTCCATCAAATCGTCTACATCCTCTTCGCTTTCGCTCTCCTTGCCCGAACCTTCGGCTGTGCCGTTCGCTACCTTCTCCAGGTCGTGCTCGTAAGGGAGGATACCCTTGGCAGTCAACTCCTTGATCTCGGCTTGGCGTTCGGTCTCCCAGTTCTCGATGTACGGGTTCTTCCGCACCCGTAAAGGCCGTCCAGTAAAGATGAGGGTTCGGATTGTGTCGTCGAACCCGGCAGTTCGTACCGATTCCTTGTGCGACTCGGGTGCGCCAGCTTCGTCGGCTAAGATGAAACGGGTACCAACCCAGACAGCGCCCGCGCCCATCATCAGCGCAGCAGCTAACATCTGACCGTTATGAATACCACCGGCGGCGATGACGGGAACCTGTTGGCCGGATACGACACTCTTTTTTCCTTTGCAAATCTGCACACACGCCGGAATCAGGACAGTGGTCGGAACATCTCCAGTGTGACCACCACCCTCACCACCCTGCGCACAGATGATGTCGCAGCCGATGTCTAGCGCCTTCTGAACATGCTTGGGGTGGCCGACCATGTTCATGTAGTAAATACCGTGCTTGTGTAGCCTGTCGACGACGGCTTTGGGTGGTACACCGACAGCGGAGACGAAGAGTTTGGCTCCCGATTCGATAACGACGTCGATTAATTGGTCGAGCTTGCCTTTCGTGTAATCGTAGCTATGTTTCAACCCGGTTAGCTGCCGTCGCCCGTAGCTGAGTACTAGCGAATAGCGAATATCCCAGAATGATCAAAGCTTACTTTGTTTTGCGGGCCTTGCCGCCAACTTGTGGAAGTAACAGATCGATACCGAATGGCGCATTCTTGTCATTCAGATACGATTTCAACTCGTCGATTTGCTCCTTCAACATGTCCGGGCTATAGGACATGCCTCCGATGACACCGAGACCGCCGGCATTCGTGACAGCAGCAGCGAGCTTGGGGCCGGCTGCGACGTTCATCCCGGCGAGGAAAATAGGGTGGTTGATCTTGAATAGATCGGTGACGGGAGTCCGGATCCTCTCTGTAGGATCACATTTTGTCAGTGATTTACTCATGAGTACCTAGGTACCTAGGTATGTTGGGTTGTGACATACGTGGTGATGCCATCTTGACTGTTTTGGGTGCTGATGTAAAACTGTAGAATATGATAAGATGGTAAAGACGCTTCTTTAGTCTATTCTAGTTATATCAAGAAATCTGGGGTAGATTAAGTAGTCGGAAAGAACAAGAAAGTAAGTCTTGGTATCGGCAACACACGCGGCAATGGGAATAGTAATAAGTAATAAGAACAGATGGAAATGTGAAAATCGGGGTATATTCAGGATTTGGCTGTTTGGTACACGATCTTCCCCCAAAGATTAAAGCTGGGGAAGCCGAGGCAATACACTAAGACATTGGAGGCCTAGTCCAATCCGGGACATAGCCGAACCGAGGCTTCTTCTTAGCGTGACCACAGGTTATTATGTACATATATACAATACCTAAGCCCGCATCTCCTTTACATAGATGTGTGAATGCATCTTTATGTGCATCTTTACATATGATAGCAACCTGTCTAGTGAATCATGGAGTGTTGTTAAATAGTGAAGGTTGACGATGGAGTCACTTCAATACATCCCACATCCAAGAATAAAGAATAATTCATTCAATACAAAAACTGCCGCCATTTCATCATTCCAGCAAGAAGACCCCTTAAATCAGATCTCGGTTTACACAGCATACATGTAGTGTATGTGTACCCAGGGACATAGTACAAATAAGTACGTACCTATGTACTTTACGTATGTACATAGATCAGACCCACATGGACGATAAGATAGGTACGTACATAGTATTAATAACCTTTAGTTAGGGGTCCTTGTGGAACTTGCAAGGTTGTAATTTTTCCGGTCAGCTCCTTCGATTACGGTGTAGTTCGAAATTCGAAAAGTTGCTTATGATGCGCGATTGTCCAATGAGGCAATTAGTTTGCGGGTCAACACCTCGTTCAAAGTTTTAATGAATCTTCTCTCATCATCAGCATGGAGCTATACATATCGTTATGCTCGAGCGTCGCTATCTCATGCCAATCTAAGTTTTTTGCTGGGTGGTTCACTTATCCCTAAAAGAAAAATAATGGATCGCCAACTCTCAACCAGTCCGTCCAGTAAATCATGCGGTTGCGCAGAACGACGCCGCGGTAAGCGGAAGGCGTACATTGCTCTGGGTAGTAACGTTGGCGATCGGATTTCCATGATCGAGCAAGCATGTAAGGAAATGGATTCGAGAGGTATCAAAGTAAAAAGGACCAGTAGCCTCTGGGAGACCGAACCTATGTACGTTCTAGACCAGGATAGGTTTGTGAATGGAGCTTGCGAAGTATGTCTCAGTTTCTATTGTTTCTATTGTTTCTTTTTTCTAATTTCATGAATCTTGTGCTGAATACTGAATAATCTCCCTCAGGTAGAGACGGACCTAAAACCCCTATCTTTACTAGACCAATTACAAGATATTGAAAAGTCTATGGGGCGGCGGAAACTTATAGACAAGGGACCTCGAAATATCGACTTGGACATCTTACTTTATGAAGATGAAATAGTTGACCATGAGAGACTTAAAATTCCTCATATTGGCATCCAAGAGCGTGAATTCGTTCTACGGCCTCTCGCCGAACTTATACCGCATAAGTCTATAGACGCCTCCAAGCCCTGGAAGCTCATTCAAGACTATCTTAACGAGCTGCCTCCATCTCCGGAACCTCTCTCTACTTTGACCCCAATATGCCCCTTGGTAGAACCCTTAAATGCCCTTAAGCCAACTCGGAAAACACAAGTAATGGCCATTCTCAACATAACGCCCGATTCATTTTCGGATGGGGGAATCCATACCCCTGATTCACTTAGAGACACAATTATGGCCTATGTCCGAGGAGGTGCCACAATTTTTGACATTGGGGGCCAGTCTACGGCACCGGGGAAGCTTGAGGTCAGTGCTCAAGAAGAGGAGGACCGTGTCATACCTGTTATCAAGCTCATTCGTAGTCTCCCCGAGACACGCAACGTCGCTATCAGCGTAGATACGTATCGAGCATCAGTTGCCCAAGCAGCCGTTGAGGCCGGCGCAGATATAATCAACGACGTCTCAGCAGGTCTTTTGGACCCGGATATGTTCTCTACAATGGCCCGCTCGGGCAAGACGGTTTGCTTAATGCATATGAGAGGAGACCCCAGTACAATGAGCAAACTGAACGATTACCCTCACGGGCTTATCCCGACCATCGCTAAAGAGCTACTTGAGCGGGTAGCGGCAGCCGAAGCAGCGGGCATCCGTCGGTGGCGCATCATCCTCGACCCAGGGCTGGGATTTGCCAAGGTAGGCGAGCAGAACCTACAGCTCCTGCGGCATTTCGAAGAACTACGAAACTGGCCCGGATTAGTAGGCCTACCATGGCTCGTAGGATCCAGCCGCAAGAGCTTCATCGGTAAGGTCACCGGGGTGCCAAAGCCAATGGATCGAGTATTCGGTACGGCGGCGACCGTTGCCACGGCTGTTCAGGGTGGTGCTGATATAGTACGCGTCCACGATGTCGTTGAGATGGGCCAGGTAGTTAAGATGGCAGATGCCATTTGGCGATATTAAGTTCACAATTACGAACTAATCTAACCGCGAAACGATCGTAACTAATTTCATGAATTCATTCGTTCAATAACCCTTCCTTTTTTTTCCTTTTTCAAAACCCCTTTTCGATACTCAAGCGTTCCATATGCGAGTCCCTGTTCATGAGAAATCAACGTATTACCTAACCGAGTCCGGTGTCATATGGATGACGGACTACAACATCTTCCGGTAACTTGGGGTGTTCGATCCCCCTGTCGGAAAGACTTTACGGCCCCACAGTACCAGCTGGGCCTTTCACTCCGCATTCTCCTTTCCCTTACCCTTTTCCTTGGCCTCCTCATCAGCCTCCTCCTTAGCCTTAGCCTCGGCAGCCCACTTCTCCAGCAGGGCTATCGCTTTGCGTACCTTTGTGGCTTCGGCTTCCTTATCAAGCTCTTCCTGGAAGGTGGGAGTCATCTTACCATTTGGAACGAGCTCGGATCCTTGACAAGATCCTGTCACCATCATCTGGACTATCTCAAGACTATCCTCATCGTTGACACATGTGTCGATGACGTCGTCGGTCATGGCCAGGATGGTCTCGACGACTCTGTAAACTGTACGTTCGCTCGCGACGAACCGGCGCACCTTGGCGAGGATGACCGGTTTGGCCTCATGGTAGTTCTTCGTGACAACTTCTAGAGCCACCTCGTAGAGGGACTCGTAGAGGTAGTAGTCGCGCTCCTCGTCACTGGACGGGACTTGGGGCAGTGTGTCACGTACGACGATTTGAGATGATCCCGCTTCGGATACCATGGACGGCTGCTCAGTCTCCGCGTCAAGACCGTCACGGCTGTGGGCTTCGTAGTATAAGCCACTAGGCTGATCAGGGGTTCTGGTGGGGGTTGACGGCCCAATAATGCCGACGGGACGAGGGCGACGTGGTCGGCCCGTGGAATGAGGGCTTTCGACGAAATCCGAGGGGCCCATGTCCATCTTATTCTCTTGGGTGCTTGGTTCACCAGTATCGGAAGTGCCAGCGACGGTACTAGCAAGGATGTTGGAACGTCTAATAGGAGACGGAGTGGTCGGATTACCGGGGTCATTGGCATCACTAGTGACGAGGCTAGGAATAGGCTTTGAAGCCTCTTCCGCTCCGAGCTGCGACAGCATATCGTCGAGTTGCAAGATCTTTAACATAGTCGTTAATAAGTACGCTTCAATCAACGGGTTGGTGCTATTGTATTCCCTGGGGATAGGTGGCAGGGGATGACTTTTGGGAGGAAAAGAACTTACTTTCTGACGAAGTATACGGATGAGGTCCTTCGGATTCTCGCTATCTCCACCGGCCTCTTGAGTCGCGCCGGTGCCGCTGTCCTCATTAATCTCCTCCGCCGGTCCTGTGTTGGTGTCATCACCATCGACGGGCGGGTCGTCCTTTGCGTCGTTCTTTTCGTCGTTTGAGGATGTGCTCTTTATGGACTCTCTAAGAGCTCGTGGTCGCGTCATATGACGCTCCCGGTTGAAATCAACCAAAAACGCCTTTTCAGGAAACAATTTCTTCCAGGTCTCCTCGAGCTTCATGTTTTCTTGAGCAATGTAAGCGGCTACGGGGTCATCATTAGGATACTTTGGTAACGGCTTGTTGAGGTTACCCATAGTGGCCGACGGGCGGAGGCGAGGAGGGGGAACATTTCCACAGCTGGTCTCTCTGAGATCTCTAATATTGTACGCTGAGGTGCTAGCCACAAGTCGGTGTGCTCCTGGACGACTATAGTTGACCGGTCTAGCAGTCTCAACCTGGATGTCGTTGATGGTAACATCTTTAAGCGACTCTGTAAGTGAGTGTGAATCTCCATCGACACGCGGAGTGCTGCCACCAAGGGCTTGGTTAGATGTTGTCGCGTTGACAATGGGGGAAGGGGCTGCGACGACTTCATCGGTAGTCAACGCAATACCAATAGGGAGTGTGGTCAAGTCGGGAGAATTTCTCTGCGGTTCCTGGGGTTCCTGGGTGGTTCCCTCAATTCCGGAGAGCGTCACCATTTCGAAACCCGGTGGCACGAGCATCTTACGGCGGCCGCCGCAGGTGGACATACAGTTACCCATGGTGTACGGGTTTGAAGGTTCCTTGAGCAATAATTGAATGAGCGGAAACGAGGATCAAGTCAAGGCTTCGACAGAAACAGAAGATGCTGGCACGAAATTAAAGTGACGAAGAAGGTATTTAAAAAGAGTGTGTACTCATCGCCTAGGAAACTTGGTTGTAATGACCACGAGGAAAGAGGCGAGGTGTAAGTGAAGGTAGCGAAGTGAATGGGTTTGTGTAATTTCAAAGTGTGGGAAAAAAAAAAGGAAGCAGCTGGCATGAGCTGCGAATTTTTACAATGTTTGGTTTGGCCTGAAAATGACGCCCAATGAATCAATTCTCGGCGGGCAGCTTGCGAGGAAGCTGTCTGCGGCCGTGAAGTTGTCACTAAGTTCGGACCCCCGACCCGGCATGAAAGGTACCCGGAGCGGAGCGCCGAGCCGCACTAGGACTACCTCCGGGCATGGGCCCGGTTTGTGTGGTCCGGACCAGTGCGGCTTAGCCAATGGGCCTCCGGGGCCCTCGGCGATGTGGACATACGAGAGCTTATTTCTGTTTGCTTCCTCACAAGACTTGACTCGCTGATGACTAGTCTCATCTGATCAAGTTCTAGGACTTTGTTATTCAATACAGGTTACAAAGGATCCTCGAAAGTATCCGTTCTTTGCTGGTCACGCTGGTGGTACGGAGAGGGGCGGTATATCAACTATACAAGTCGAACCTTATGTGGATTCAGGGGCTACGTAAAGGGGTTGCGTAAAAGGGGTTACAGTTTCCACAACTGTGTTCAAGCAAAGCCAAGATGGATCTTTTTATTATATAATATCAACAGATAAAAGTGCCGATTTTTACTACATACAAATGCATAGATGATATTACTAGCTACCTATTCCACCGCACTCTGGCTGGGGAGGTCTTGATCTTAAAAGTAATAGAAGTAGGGACCTGCTAGACATCATCTTCAAGGGGATGAAAATATCTTGTGAATATTTTAAGAGGAAAGTAGAACGTACTTGAGCGTTCTGTTTCATAAAAGGGGGATAAGTAGTGAATTTTGTCTTTGTAGGGTCGATATACTAGTTTTGCTCACGCTATGGGTGCGCGTTGGGTCAGTCGGTGTAGGGAATGGGTTGTTACGCCTAGGTAACCTACCCAAGGTAGATAGCTTTCACATCCCATTCCATTTGATATTGATAGTTTTGTCATAATTCGGCTGAGGGACAACTGTATTGTATTGATTTAGTCGATAGACTTGCTTACCTCTGCTGTAGGATTATAATCTAATATGGCCTATTCACGGTGATAAATAAACATGGCAACGCCCCAAAATCTACGACTGAAAGTGACGACTATTCCCAATATCCATGTTTAAGTGCGTTTTATCACATAGGTATAAGAACCCGTGGGACAGCATCGGGCAGAATAACGAGAAGGAGAGCAAGAAACAAGGGCCCGGCTACGATAAAGCGCAAAGAATTACCTATATAACTAAATAGGAGGTAGTTAAAGCAAATCTACTAATATAGTTACAAGGCCTTTTTCCCCTAGTTTCTCTAGTATTCTAGTATTCTAGGGTTCTAATCTGCCATTCTGAACATTCCTGTTCAGGCACGTCTTATTGTGGCACAAGAACCCTCAACATATTAGCGACAAATTAGAAATTCGGAAGGACGAGTGAAAGAACTCAGCGTCAGAGATGACTACCTAACTACATGGAAAGCTGCGACTATGTAGCTGACATGCAGTTTAGATGATGGCGAGCTTATATATATGAGTTGAGTGTTTAAAAAATTAAAATCTATGTTGGAAAGGTAGGTACCTAGGTAGCTAGCTAGCTAGCCCACGTACACAAGTTTGAAGCTTCTGATATCAACTCAAGTTCTTAGCATTCCTCGACGCTTTACCTGCGGCGCCATTATCGAGCAATGAGTACAACGTTAACTGCCTTATTTTAATCGCCTATAAATAATACCCTTTTCTATTTCCATCATGAAGTTTATGCAGAACTTCGAAAGCCCTCAAGGGAGTCAGTCAGTCAATACTAGGTCTTGCGGCAGTGGGTGAGCGGTGATGATACAATATTTTCTTCTCACTTCCCGGCTTCGCGACTCGGGAGCTCTCCCTCGCGGTAGCTAATGCCGTGCTACTTCTATCTACATACTTTTCCTTCCTTTCCTTTCCCATCCCCCCTTCTCCATTGGCACATACCTAGATAGGTAGGAGTGGCGCGGACTTGGCCCCCTATGCCACAGCAGCAGCCTACGCGTACGGGGTAGGTACCTAGGTAGGTATAGCAAGATGTAAATGTAAATATAGATCTACGCACGTCCATACGTATCCATTCCAATGCCGTCATAGCCTGCATGGCGATCTTGGGGGCGGTCCCGGCCGATGTTGACGGTTTGGCCGATTTGGCTTCTTGGGTTAGGTACCTTGACTACCTACCTACCTACCTAAGGTAATTGCTCCTATTCAGTTCTAGGTACACATTTTCCCTTTATATCTCACCCAAAGCCCTACATAGTATCAGAAATTCAGTCACATGTGAAATTCGCCTGCTGTGTTAGAGTGTTCTAGGTAGGTAGGTAGGTATCTATCAAATTCCCCCTTCGTCATTCTATTTATAGCCGCCTTGTCCAACACACCTCTCTCCACATTGTCACTCCCTTGCCGTAGTGTACAGGGCTTGTTTGAATGCACGTGTATACATATAAGCATTCGGGTTTGGTTAAAAGAAAAAAGCCCGTTACGCTTGGAGAAAAAGGGGTACACTAGATCAGTAACCTAGATTGCTCCACCCAGGGATGGATATTCGGGGTCTAGGATACATACATCTTAACATGAACCAGATTCATAAGGTACGTAAGTTATATTAGCTTTTCCCTTCTCCACACACAGGACCAAGATATGTAGTGTAAAGTCACGAGAAGCTCCTAGAACCAGCGTAGAACAAATGTCGGTACCACCATCATGCCATAAACGGTTTAGCATACCACCCGCGAGCTAGTATTCATGTCAGATTCGAATAGCATGCATGATACCCAAGTCGGAACCTCGCCCCGTAGCGTACCAAACCTGCAAACTGCACACTGTCTACAGGAAGGGGAGACGAGGTAAGAAGGTACATACCTGGGTAGGTAGGTAGAAAATCTTGCTATACCTACCTAAACAAGGCAATAAAGATATAATAGATTTCAAAGATTCGGAGTTACATTAACTATTAACTAGGGGAAAGCCAACAATACAACGCAGATAAAAACTGCGTCACGAATCAAGATTCAAACAAGGCTCCAGGAACTCCGGATGGCACATGTTTTCGTCATGTGTAAGCCTGTATTACGGCGACAAATCGTCAGTGATCAGTGATCTGCTGCTAGTGTAAGTAATCCTGCAAGCCACGAAAAGGTATGCTACTATGTAGAAAACCCTGTTTTTGTGACACCCCCGCGCTTACTGGACTTGACCTTGGCTCTTTTGTCTCTCAAGAGTCTAGAGTTACACGGGCGTTTATGTTGGTTACACCGTTGGTTGAAAGAATCCCCGTGTCCCTGTACCATGTAATCTTTTAAATATTGTAACCGTGGGGAAGCATCGTGATTGGAGATTGGAGGAAAACACTACCCAACCAATATTTGAATCATTGGCGGCGGTGTGGATAACAAACACCACATGCCCTCTTAGGTTTTTGTTTATTTGTTTTTTAGATACCTACCTAGATAATGTAAGTGGTAAGCCTTTTGCTTGCTGACGGCAGTTACGGCGGATCCTCCAAGGTATGATTGAGTGCATGGTTAGTAATTGTCCCGTACTGATCGGCATTTCGCTTGTTGATAGGCTTAAGGGGCAGAAGGGGGAACTTCGCTAGCGGACATGATCTGTCGAATGTCACACCAGAGAAATGTGCTTTCATTGGTCCTTAGCTCCCAAACAATTACCAACCCCCGGCACGAACTGTACGTGCTGACGTGCTGTGTAGCACATATGTCGTCGGGGGACAGACAAACGTGCTACAAATATGCCGCGCCCGTGTCGCAAGAAGCGCGGCGCAGTGGTTTGTATTACTCGCGATACGTTGCACAGAAGGACTCAACGAGATAACATACCTACATAATTCCCAATCCTGTATGTCCACGGCACGGTCTTTTTGTTTTCGTACGACAGTATTTGCATTTGGTACCGCCCCCTCCCCACGGTTGTAAGAGTGAGCTGTCATTTTTTTCGATTTAGACGCAAACACAGTGCATATTTTGTACCACACTAACACATGTGCCTAAGGGAGTTGAACCGACCTGTCATCTCCATATGTTAGGTACCTAGGTAGGTATGTACGTTCTTTGCATGTTGTTTGTCGAGTTGGACAAAACATCGTCAAGCATCGTCGTCTGACTCAGCCACACCCAGGCGGGATCAAGCCGCCATGTCGTGTTGCGGAATCCTCTCCATGTAAAGTAGCACAAGGTACCGCATAGGGCTGAGCAGACAACGGAAGTAGTGTAACAGATGGCTGTAGATTGTAGATGCACGTCAGACACATCTTCCGGCTGTATGTACGTACATACTGCAGAGCGTAATAGGGGGGAGCACTCGGGAAGATCATGATTGCTTGCCATGGCCCTATCTTCAATTAGTTACGGACGTATTGTAGGCCAGTGGAGTGACATCACAGCTAGACCGGAGTCCCGTAGAGAATTACATACGGTCCCGCATCTGCGCATGTACCTACTATGGTAACATCGTGTGGCTTGCGAAGAGAGAAGCTGTTTGCGAATGGCAAGATGATCCGAGCACGCCGTCGACACGCGCACCGCCCAATCAGCTACGTCCATGCAAGCAACCACAAGTCCGCGTGGAGAGCTTAGCCCCCAAGATACAAGCTGACCGACTCACCCATGTCCGTCCCATGTCCATCCCATGTCCATCTAGTGTATGATTGCCTGGACTAGAACCTGGACTAGAACCATCTTGGCGGTTTAGGCAGGGAATGCTCAGAAGGGATGTCACGATGCTCGTCTGCCAGCTC